AACAATTACACCTTCTTGAGCCACCAAGCAATATTGGTTTTTAAATCAATTATACAGAATTCCAAGAACCACAGAAGTGCTCGTCCTCAGTCATGTGTAAAGTAGCATATTTTGAGGTAAAATACGTTTTTCTGCAATTTTAACTGCAATAATCTATACATGACTATGAAATATTTGATTTAAATAACAAATATAAATAAGATATATAATAAAAGTTGTGGTTCCCAGGAGTCGTGTCACTGGTATTACTGCACTTGACTTCCTTTTACCCATTTTCTGAAGATCTATGAGAAAAGCACATGGCAAGTCCACTGTGTCTTTTCAGTTATTCTCATTTAGCTCATGATTTCATTCAAAGCCACTAGTACGACCTACTTTATTCCTAGGTAATTGTGGAAAAAACACAACACAAAAGGATTAAGTTACATATTTTAGTGAATATTCCATGATTGACAACGTGTGGTTTGATGCTCTGTAGCAGCCATTTTGTAAAATGCATCTCTCATTAAAAATGTCTCTGATGTTACCTTACTTATATGTAACAGCAATGACGATCTGTAACACCAGTGACTCCTATGGATAGATAAAGTGGACGTTTCTGCAAATTGACCCATTTGTTTTGAAGATGTCCCAAATTGATCAAAACAAACGGCTAAAAAAAGTGAGCTTATATTATTTAGTTCGTTTTTATCTTTGTCACAAAAAAAGATTTGTTACACTTTTTTGTAACAAAAACAACTGAACATCTCAATCTGATTATGAATAACAGTATGCAAATTACATGTAATCAAAGAAATGCAAATGTGCACCGGTGGAAGTTCCTCCATAGTGTAACAGTACATAACTGAATCCCTTCAGAACAGGTTCTATGACATTTTCCCTCAACATACTAAATTTACTTTTGGACATGAATGTGTTAAACTGGATAACTGAGCTTATTTTACTAATGAAGTTTTATTTACTGGAAACCAACTGTCTACACTCCTAAAGATGGTTCTTCAAGGGTTCTTTAGTAAAGACTGGTTCTATATAGAACCATGTACACTCAAAGAACTATTTGCATGCTTAAATGGTTCTATGCATGGTAAAATGGTTCTTCAGATTGATGGAGAACGCTGTATATTCTATATAGCATCAAAAAGGGTTCTGCAATTGTTACAATATCAAGCTTGAAAGAACAGAAGAACCCTTTTTGATGCTATATAGAACCATATTCAACACTGTCAATCTGAAGAACCATTTCACCATGCAAAGAACGATTATGCATGCAAATGGTTCTTTGAGTGTTAATGATTCTATATACAGCCACTCTCTATACTAAAGAACCCTTTTTGATACTATATAGAACCATATACAACACATTCTCCATCAGTCTGATGAATCATTTCACCATGCAAAGAACTACAAGCATGCAAATAGTTCTTTGAGTGTTCATGGTTCTATATAGAACCACTGTCTTTACTGAAGAACCCTTTTTGATGCTATATAGAACCAAAAACAACACATCCTCCATCAATCTGAAGAATCATTTCACCATTCGAAGAACTATATGCATGCAAATGGTTCTTCAAGAGTTCATGGTTCTCGACAAACCAGCAGCTTCTTTGTTTGACGAAGTGCTGTTTATCTGTTGGGGGCAGTTTTGTCTACCAGGTCTTCCAGGTGGTTGTTAGGAGTCACATTTTCTCTGTAGCTTTTAATCAGTTCTTGAACTCCAGTTTTAAAAACATAAATAATCTCCTCAGAAATATCTCCTGTAAAAATAAATGACTTTTACTTAATGGTCATTTCGAGTGGACATTAAGTGGAGATAAATGAAGGCTGCTCTATGACTTTTGCACTGTACAAATACTGTATGATCTGCTCAAGTATTATCAAGTATCTGTTAGCACAGAAACTAAGTGGAATCTGTGCTCTTTGCTCTCAGTGAGGTTTGAGTGCGCATTCACTCTGACTGGGTTCATCACTGTAAAACTCTACGGCCTTCAGAATGTTCTGGAAGCTAAATGTTCAGAAAGTGCTGCTTCAGAGAATCGGAGCGACCTTCAGAAAGCCAGAGAACACACACAAAGCTCAGCCTTGGAGCGCCTGAATAAGCGCTTGCGAGAAACAGCTGAAAAGATTCAAGAGTGTGGGGTGAAAGCAATTTGTGGAAAAGAGAAAATTCACCAGCGTCCAAGTCCCTCGCACACAAAACAAACCTGACGCCAAACACAAATAACAAAGCCAGACCCGAATTCATTCCCCAAGTTTTTTTTATATTTCTTTTCTTATTTTTTTCCTCTTTTTTCCCTCTAAATGGAGTGATACATCTACATAAATCAAGATTCATTGATGCCTCGCAGTACAAGGACTTGACAAAAAGATCTTTTTTCAGTTTCTTTTATCAGCTATTAAGAAATAAAAATCTTAATAAACATTTGTTTCTGTACATTCTGCAAGATATGTTTGGAATCCATAACAGAAGTCAGAAATGAAGCCCTCCTGACCTGGAGTCTCTCCATTTTTTCCATTTCTCCTCCCAAAAGTTTTAATATTTAATAGCGCCCCCCCCTCCCCCAGTCCCCTAGCTAAATTCACACCACGGCATACATCCCCTTTAAATTAGACACGGAGGGGAGGAAAACAAAGAAAAGAAAAACCCTTTGGATGCTGCAGACCCATTTTGAAGAGAACAGACAACACAATCAGCAAAAAAGACAAACATAAAAAAAGAGAACAGAACACAAAAACATATGGAATCATACTGATCAGATGTTTCTGGATGCAGGCGTATCAACAGCGTGACTCAAACCCACGGAGAACAGCCTGATTTCAGCTCAAGACCTTTTGTTTGTTTGTTTTTTTTTTTCTGTTAGTCTACAGCATTTCCCACAAGCAGTCCGGCACACGGATGCTAAAGGAACTAGCTTCTTAGCTAGTTAGCTAGTAACAATTCAAACACTGTTCATTCTTTGGAAGAGAGACGGTTCCTTTTGAATACGGCGTGCAGGTTTTTCTTCTTCTCTCATGAAGGATTTGAGCTGCTAACGTCTCCGGAGCCGCAACAGGAGCGACACAGCCCGAAAATACCCACAATGCTTTGGGAGAACAGTCTTTTGCTATAGTTGTTGTTGGCATGGCACACAAGCCGCAAAACAGGAAACGAAAAAAGTGCAAGAAGTCCAGAGCAAAGCTCAAAGCTCGGTGAGACCTCCGCTGCGGGGCGCAGGAAAGCTAAATGAAACCTACCGATATGTTTACAGTAACAGTACAGCGAAGACGAAAAGGAACAAAAAAAATTTGATTTGGTAAACAATCCTCCTTGCCTGTTAGATGAAGAAGAAAAGACAACAGCTTCAATACTTCGCTTCTGGTAGAAGAACAGACAAGGCTTCAGTCGGTCTGTGTGAGGGGATTGGTCCTCTCTGGAGAATTTAACATCACGTAACCCTACAGATACACTCAGTCCCAAAGACGCTTAAACAGGGCAGTGATAAAAAAAAAATTAAATAAATATAAAAAAAACAAAACAAAACAAAACATGTGAGGTTGAAAGTGCCCAAAAAGCCACCTAATGAGCAACAAGCTGTGGCGGTGAAAACTGTTCTTATATATAAAAAAGAAACAGAAAAAAAACAAAAACAAAACAGAGCAAAATAAGCTATGGAAGCCCATTTCTGCCAGACAGAGGAGGAAAAAAACAACTATATTTCATTTTTATTTTGCAACTAGAGATGTATTTTCTTAAAATACTGACTCAATATCTCAAAATAATGATTTATTGTTGTTTTGAGTTACGAGGAAATATACAACCTGCATTAATAACAGTGATTACACTTCAAGAAAGACATTATTTCGGGAGAATAAGTCAATAATTTGATACAGTAAGTCATTACTTCAAGAAAACAAGCCCAATGATTTTGAGAAAGGAAGTCATAAAAAGATGAGAAAATAATTTAAAGAAGCTAATTAGTTTGACAGACCAGAGAACAGACCAGTACTTAATTATTAACAATTAAAACATTTGAGAAAATATGTCATTATTTTGAAATAATACATAAAAATTTTGACGCACCGCCGCAACAAACAGTCAAGAGGGAAAAACAGCAACTGATTTTTCCTCCTCTGCCTGGTGGGAATAGTAAATATTCAGTTATATATTCAAAACAAAACAAAGAAAAAAAAATGGAAGATGAGGAAATGGAGGCATGTTCAGGTTAAAAAAAGAAAACAGAAAAAGGGAGAAAGGCAGGGAAGAACATGGTGAGACTTTGTGAACGTAAGGCATGCACGCTAGTTTTCTGAAGTAGCACTGAGCGGTCCCTTTTTATTTACCCTAAACTACGCCTGATTCAAAAAGCAAAAGTCAGATGCGATGAATTATTCTCAGGTCTAGTCTAATAAGGGTGGGGTGTATTGAGCAGCAGTAGCGTAAAAATGAGAAATCAGAGCTCAAAAACATGCAGGCAGACATCATCACTCCACTAAGTGCTGTATAAGAGTCTAAAGTGTCTGGGATTGTATCGGCTCCTTTCGTCCATTGCTAATCTGGGCGTGGATTTAAAGAGTAAAAAAGAAAGACTGAAAACACAAAAAGAAAAGAAAAAGAAAGAAACCAAAAACCCCAACATGAACCCCAAACATTCAAGTGCAGGAACACTTTAAAATATACATATACATATAAACGTGTGAACACTTGAATCAGTAATGCACTCTCCTCGGCCTCCGTCGGCGTCGGAAAGGAGCGATTTTTTACAAGCGCTTCATGACGGAAAGCTTCTTTTGTTTGTTTGTTTATGTGTTTTTTTTTTTTCTCCTCACCCAAGATATCAATATTTGTCTTGGGTATTCACAAACGTATGCACTGTACTGAAGTATTTAAGTACTTTGGGCCTTGATCCCTTAACAAGCACACACAATATGAGAGAAATTCTGCTGAACTACAAGTCCTGGTTGATAGGTGTCGTAAATCAATCATCATTTATCAACTAAAATTTACAAAATGGATTTTTTTTTTCCTCTACTGAAACTGTGATGACGACAATCCAATGCTATGTCTATAGATACTGTATTTTATATAACCTTTTGAATACTCATGTATTTATTCATTGATTTTTTTTCCGACATTATAGAGATTTAATTTCTTATTATATATCAATAAATAAATAAAAACCAAGATTTACTGTTTTTGACTTGACTACACCTTCCTCATGGTATAACTGTGCCATTCTCTCCTAAAACGGTCCAGGAGAGCTTTCGTGGAGGGGGCACCGCCTCTAACGACAGGAGGAAAAGGGAAAGAGAGAGCGAGAGAGATAGAGAGAGGAAAGAGAGAGTGAAAGAGAGAGAGAGAGAGGGATAGAGGGAGTGGTAAAAGGGGGTTTTGAGCACGGTTGTGATTACGCCTGTGCGTTGGTGCCGTTTTTGTCAGGCGAGTTGGTGGCGTTAATGGAGTTTGCCATTCCGTCCGGCTGTTTTCCGTCTTTGCGCGGCGGCATCCTCTCGTTTATCCGGTCCAAACCGCGCGCCTCCTCGAAACTCTGGATTTTGTGCTGAGGGTTGAAGCCTTGAATTGCTGGAGAAGAGAAAAAGCAGAAAAACAGAGAGATTAGCCTCAGCGATCACAATGGCCGACGCTAAGTGGGCCGATATTTTCATCATGATATTCAGCTCATCTGAGGTTTGTGAACTAGTTTGAAATGCACAGTAAAACAGCAGAGCTACATTTAAAAAGGATGAAAAACTATTAGTATAATGATTATTTTTAAATTCAACTTTTGCAATAATAATATAATAATCTATTCAGGTTATATGATACATTTCCAATGGTCCATAAATGTTCTCTGAGTTGTGAGCAGAGATCTGAAATTTTTCAACACGATCAAACAGTTCATCACTTACGACTAAACTTCTGTTTTTGGTCAAATGGGAACACTACTATTCTTAACAAAATAATAGAATGCAAATCTGTGTATCACAAAATACAAACAGGTCCAGTTCAACCAATTCTGTAGCATTTTTTCTTGAATAGGTTAAAGAAGAATAAAAAAAAAAACTGCTTAAAAATGTGATGTCATAATCAGCTGCTGTAATAATGTAATAGTCGTCCACTTAAAAATGAAGGTTCTTCAAGGGTTATTTCGTAAAGAAAATGGTTCTATATAGAACCCTTTGTGTGATTAAACGGTTCTTTGCATCATGAAAGGGTTCTTCAGATTGACAGAGAATTTGCTGCAGATGCACAGATTTAGTGTTTTAATCCTCTAAAATGCTCATAATTTTGTATAAAAATATGTTCCCGTATAGAACCGTTTAAAAAAGGGTTCTATGTAGCACCAAAAAAGGGTTCTTCTATTATAACAAGCTTGACATCGTAACAGTAGAACAACAATTTTTGGCGCTATATGGAACTCTTTTCAAAAAGGTTCTATTTAGAAGCATATACAGCACATTCTCCATCAGTCTGAAAAGAACGGTGCAAAGAACCCTTTAATCATGCAAAAGGTTCGCTGAGTGTTTATTGTTCTATATAGAACCATTTTCTTTACTAAAGAACTCCTGAAGAACCATAATTTTTAAGAGTGTACTTGTTATTAGGTAGTTTATGCTGTTATTATACTTGAAAATATGTTAACACCTCCTCTACAGAGAACACACTTCAATATGGCATGTTCAGTTCACAATTTCTATTGATTTGACAGGTAATCAAAAACAAAAAACATCGATCGATCGATAGATCGATAGATAGATTAAAATAAAACTAAAAACTATAAACTGTAGTATAACTTTTGTACAGTCCACATTTTCAATTCTAATTTCCCGCCAATATGTTGAATTCAGTAAATAAACAGTAATAGTGTGTTAAAATGTGTAGAAGTGTGTCTCTGTAGAGGATGTGGAACTTATTTACACTTAGAAAGTCAATAACAACAAAGAATTTGACTAGGGGTGCCTTAACTTTTGCACACAGCTGTAATTGGTCCAATTATGCCCAGTTGTAGATGTACTGACCCCACCAATCATAAGCTTGGAAAATCATATTGTGATGTAAATAACCACCACAGTGTATTGTTATACTGCCCAAGCTTAGCTAGTGCTAGCAGGACTTTTACTTGGCCACACTGTGGTGCTATATTCACAAAACACTCTTCAGTGCCTACGATGCTGTTTACACTCATTGCTTTACTTGTTTGGAGATGACAGTATTAAAAATAAATCAAGATAAAAGGTTATTGAGACATGTTACTTACTTGATTATGGAGGCCAAGTTAGCATGTTTATAATTAACGAGAAAGAAAAAACACTTATTAGAAGCCATGGACACGGAACACATAAGCACTTTGGCTTTTACTTAAATCTAGTGGACTAATCACAGAGTTATCTCACCACATGGGCAAACAGTCATCGAGGCTCCGCCCACAAACATTTTCATTCATATCTAGTGTTTTGAGAATGGACAACCTTAACGGAGCACTGCAGAGCAGACTCAGTTTATCTCACAATACCTACATTTAGAGTCAGTTATTCATTCAACCTAATGAGAAACTGTTGAACAGACTCAGTTTATATCACAATACCTACATTTAGAGTCAGTTATTCATTCAACCTAATGGGAAACTGTAGAACAGACTCAGTTTATATCACAATACCTACATTTAGAGTCAGTTATTCATTCAACCTAATGAGAAACTGTAGAACAGACTCAGTTTATATCACAATACCTACATTTAGAGTCAGTTAACATATTTGTGGGTGGAGCCTGGGTAGGTAAATGAATAATTATTGTTAATAATTTGCCCACAACAACAACAACAACAACAACAACTGAAGCGTTTCAGGACAGATCATGACATCAGCAATGCTAATACTGGAGTACATCTGCAGTTATTCAGCACAGACTCCATATCAAAGCGCTTCAGACACAGACAACACAGAGTTGCTGCTCATACACTCACTGTATCTGTATTTATACTACTGCAAAACTGGAGCACACTAGCGCACTAGCAAACAGAAGCCTATTCTATCAGCAGCACAAAGCACCACACACTGGACAAGATAACAGCTTAAAGAAAAAAAACAAACAAAAAAAAAGCGAGAAGACACAAACTTAAAAAGAACTCAACATGCTCCACATAAAGAAGCCACTACTACTACTACTACTACTACTACTACTACTAATAACAATAATAATAACAATAATAATAACAACAACAATATAACAGCTAAAGAGTGAATAAACACAAAAGACAGACTGGCTGATCTAAATATAATGTACATTTCTTCATTTATGACAGGCCATCATTAACTTTAACTCCTTCTGTTTGAGTGTTTGAGTGAGCGCTCTGACGTTTCCCTTTTCGTCTTGCTTTTTCTTTTAACAGGAACTGACAGTGATAAAAACAGACTTCTCTCACATTGTGGTCTTCACACTGTTAGCCCTCAGCTCGAGTATTTGAAAATAAAACGGCAGCTGCCTTTTACACTGTATGAACACTTCATGATGAATGCACCAACAGAAACGCCCCAAAATTACTAAAAGTTGCGTTAACCTTAAAGTTAAACTGTCTTATTCTTTCTTTAGTAGAGCCACCATTTTTTTGTTACAAAGTATATAAACATATGTAAAATATATACAGTCTTATGCAGAATTTGAACAAAGTTCCAGGTTGTGTTGATTTTGTAAATAAGTTACACATCTTGTACAAAGACACACTTCTGCACATTTTAATACACAATTACTGTTTACTCAGTTTAACAAATGTAAAATGTGGATCTGAGCAAAATACAAGTCATATTCTATATTTTATTCTATATTAGTTTTATTTCCCTCTAATATATTAAAAATAGACAGAAACTGTGCACCAAAATGTGCTGGAAAATGCCATATTTAAGTGTGCCGACTCATTTACACTCACTAGACCAACAAAACATGTAAATTGATCACTAATTTGCATATGACTGTATAAAACAGTACCATTACAATATATATGTTATATAAACTCATACTGTGTTCAAAAACACTGCCTGACAGCTTTAAAACTCCTTAATCTGAAATAAAAACGTAAAGGTTGTCCTGGCTGCATTGCTGCAGTAGCTTTATGAGACACTATAACTGAGTAGGAGGAAGCAACAGAAGCACATGATAAGAATAAATTCAATTTAAAAAACAAAAAGGACTCTACAGATGAGCTACAGTCACACAGAGACACCCTGACAGACAGAGACAGTCAGACAGACAGACATACAGACAGACAGTGTTGCGTACCTCGGGCCTCGGCTGCTTCTACGGTGGCTGTGTAAGCGTGAGTAGCAGTGGCATGCCCAACACGAACGGAGAGAGAGTGAGTCAAGTTATCAATGCAAATCAAAGGACCACCAAAACCCGCTTTACCCCCCAGCACAGCCCCCCACCCCACACATTCACAGCCCAGCACAGCCCCCCAAACACGGTCAGAGCACGGTTAGTTCAGCCATTCAGAGCCGCACTGCGCTAATAAATCTGTTTGTTTTTGGGAAAATTTTGCCTCTGAAACTTTTATCTCCATATATAAGCTTAAGTTATGAGGAGTGCTTTAGTCTGTTTTTTTTTATTCAGCTAATCAGCACAGAGCTCATTTCCTTACATCAGTACAACCCGTTGAATTCTAAAGGTGGTAGAGAGGTCGGAAAGTGGTCATGTATGGAATTGCATAGAGTTATGACTGTATGACTTATGACTGTACACAAATTTCATAAGGGGACCTCAGATATTTACTAATTTATAGCTTATATACTCTCTTTTCTGTTAAATGGAGGAAAAAATAATAATAAAAAAACAAACAATCAGTACTTGAGGAATGCACTTGGATATATATAATATTGTGTGTATATATGCATTTGTGTCCCTTTGGCTTAGGTTTTTTTAATTTTTACTCTTTAAAAAGCCCACAGTAAACATCAGTGTATCAAACACTATACTGAACTGGATGCAACATTTTTTTTAACTTATGCATAAAAATCTTCACACATCAGCATGTGTGTGATAGTAGCGCACCACAGGGTGGTGGATTTAACAAGCCAATAACCTAAACCAAAAAAACCCTGCATTACTATGGCAACAAAAAAATTACAGTTAAATCTGCAGAACAGCATTTCCCATAGTAATGGGCATCAACTGAGGCCCAACAGGATACCATACACCAACGTCTAGCGGTGTGAAAGCCAAACTAAACCGATAAAATCTGAGATTTTAAAAAACAGCTGAAGTGGTTAAAGCAGGGGTTTGAGATCCCCTCACACCCTTCATCAGTGAGTAATCAGCAAATTCTATGCAAAAAAAGTCATCAGCAACCACAGAATAAAAAATACATATATACATCCTGCTCAAGACGGAAGGGCTGCGTTCAAGAGTCAATTTTTATACACTATAATATTACATATGTTTAGCCTTGAAGAAAGGGAGGTGAAATTGAATATATCAAATAAACCACACTATGTAGACATTTTATTTACTATACAAACCACCAGTGAACCTACACAAGTATATGTAATGTTGATGGTAAATCTGAAAAAATATTTTCTCTGGGGACTATTTTGCCTTAGAACACCCTTTACGTATCTCTCCACCATGCATAGATAAATATACATTACACACCCAAATTTTACAATGTAAAACAATGCCTCAGACATGAGGCAAAGTATTCATATCCATTTAATGTAAAAACTTTTTGTGAGGGAGCATTTAGAGGTGGATGTCTGGTTCCTATCACCACCACTGTGAACAATTCTGACTCTGCAAGTTTTTCTAGAATGGAGCATTTCACACCAAACCACTCTTGGTTAGCGATGTAAGAAGAAATTTTCAAAAAGCAGTGTAGTTTCCCTTTAACAGCTTCAGGCACTCCCTATGATTGCTGTATGGAGAAACGTTACGCATTGTTTTAGTTAATTTTGTTAATTGTTACGCCCCTAGTATTTTGGATGCAAGAAGTAAATAAATACATGAAAAACATGCCCTAAATCTTCAGAGATAAGAGTTTCAAAGGCATACTTCTTTTCAACAAAAACAAAACTGACCATGTTAGTTGGATAAGTTAGTCCAGCAGCAGCAGAGCATTAGTTAGAGTCATTGCTGTAAGAACAGTAAGGAATTGGCACTGTAGCAGCAGCAGTATGATCTGTTAGCATGCAGGCTGCAGAATGTTAGTGAGAAGCCAATGTGTAGCTCAAGCTGACAGTCTGAGCTGACAGTGTGTGTAACGTTTGAGCTGATAGTGAGAGGCTGGCGAAGGTGTCCGCGTGGCCGAGGACAGGAAGTGGTGGCATGCTAACAACGGCTTGTTAAACTGGGTCACGCCGCATCACAGTCACACGGCCAAACCAGCCCCTCTGAGCATGACTGGGAACAGCCGTGTAAACCTCTGACATCACAACCATTTGACTCAATCGATTCAGTGGCTCTTCAGGAAACAATTCAATGCATAATTTCACTAAGATTCAATTCAACTATTTTTAAAGATATTCTCCAGTGTTTTTCAATCGGTCTTATAAAGGTCAAATACCACAGATAATCATCTGTGCATGTTTTCCGGAGTTTGGCAAAGAACAACTCACTTGTAATAGAAGTTAATGTGCAGTCGATGAATGTCACCAGTGAAAGCATTCACAGTATTCTGATACCACAGTCACCATTTTGGAAGGCAAAGGCAGGGAAACACTTTTTTTTTGGAACACATGGTTTAATTCTCTTTTTTTCTTGTTTCGATTTTCTCCCCAGTTTAGATATATTTAGTTAGGACTCCCCCAGTCACATAATACCACTAGCGTTAGGAGGGCTAAAGCTAGCACAGGCTTCTATAGATCCGGCCGCAGACGGCTGTAGCATCACCAGGGATCGCACTCATGATCTCCTGAAGATGGGGCCAACACTTAGATGGTTGCGCCACTTGGGAGCCCTTAATTCTCCAAGAGTCCAAGAGATCATTAATGTCCTTCTGTTCGCTCTGGGTGAGTAGGATGGTCCTCCCTTTCCCTGGATCACAAGTCTAATCAATTAGCAATGCTAATCCTGTTAGCTGATGTAACAGAATTAGCAGTTAGCGTTCTCTCCCAAGCATGTTGAGCTCTAATGACACTGTGCTAGTGTTGGTTTAAAAGGTCTGGAACGAAGGATGTGCTAGCCTTTACCCTCCTAACTTGGTAGCATCGTGTGATAGAGGGAGAACTAACAAAGGGTCAATAACTAAATTAAATAAATTAAAAAAAAATCTATTAAAAAAAAAAACATCATAACACCCGTACAGTAAGAGTGGAATGGCCTTAGTTTATTTTTTTCTAAAATTTGCTATATAGCCATATTTCAAGCATTTCTTTACAGAATTCAGCAACTGCCCATTGGCTTCTATTATAAGTTTCAATTTCATCACATTTTCTGTTCTGTTCATGGAAAATGTTGAAATTATAGTCTGTGGTGAGAGACCTTATTTTTCATAAGAAGTAGAGACCAAGTTGAAAAACACTGAAAGATTCCTTTAAGTACACAAATGTGACTAGAATGAATGCACAGTAACAGAACACACATAATAAAATAAGTTTTATATTTAAAAAGAAGCCACAAAAAGTGTGATTAGGGGGAAAACATACTTCACTGCTTTTACAATCATGTAGGACATTCTAAAACACTGCAGTAGCTGAATCAGATGTTTACAGCCCCAACTGGAACATTATCACAGCTCTGAGGGATCAGCGCTCAGTCTGAGATACACTGATCTATAAAATCACTTCAGTCTGACTGTTAATGTGATGGGCCGAATTCAGTCGGGGGTTGGGGGATGTTGAAAGGTGCAATGGACTCAAGATGAAGGAGAGTATGAGAGAGCAAGAAACAGCAGCAGGAGAGCAAGGAGCACAAAAAGAAGACAGAAAAAGATCAGAGCTAAGATGAGGAAAAAAACAGTGAGAGGGAAGAAAGGAGGGAGAGAGAGAGAGAAAGACAGAAAAAGAGCAAGAAAATGGGGGACAGAGAGAGAGAGGAAAAAGAGAGAAAGGAGATAAGTGAGAGAGATAGAGAGATACACAGATACAGAGAGAGAGAGAAAGAGAGACAGAGAAAGAGGAGGAAAGAGAGAGAGAGAGAGAGAGAGAGAGAGAGAGAGAGAGAGATTATGCAGAAGTGCAGAGTAAAAGCGCAGGATGGTCTCTGGCACACAAGCGCAGGAGTGGGGTGGACGTGTGTATGTGTGTTCGTACCACTCTGCAGTGTCTGTCTGCCTCCACACAGAACTCCCAGCGGCAGCCTTCCAGTCGGGGTCAAACCCTTCAGCTGCAGCACGCTCTCATTCTCCTCCCTGAGGAAACAAACAAACAACAAAATAAACAAAAGTCATTGTAACAGAAAACACCAGAAAAAACCTCTCCGCTACAGTGAGAATAATGTCAGGTGTCTGTAATCTGTATGTTTATTATTCAGTTATTGATCTTAGACCTATTATTCAGTACCTAATGTAAATTATTCAATATCTACAATGAATTATTCAGTAAATACTACGGATTATTCAGTATCCACTATGAATTATTCAGTAACTACTTTGAATTGTTTTGTATCTATGATAAATTATTCAGTATCTACGATAAATTATTCAGCATCTACTGTGAATTGTTTTGTATCTATGATAAATTATTCAGTATCTACTATGAACTACTCGGTGACTAGTGTGAAACTATTATGTTGCTCTGTAGTGAGTGAATTGTGAAGAAGTGACACATGGATCACTGTCAGCTTGTCTGTGGAGGGGAATTTTGTGCACATATTGTGTAAATAAGTGTAGATGTAAAAACTGTATGTGAGACTGTGTGTGAAAACAGGCTTCCCCCAAAGAGCCCGCTGTGTGAAGTGTGTGTGTGTTCACCTCAGCACAGAGAAAACTCGGGCCATCTTGCCAATGGCACGGATCTTATTTCTGATCACCTCCTTACGGACAGCCGGAGCACCACCTGTCACAATCACAGAGAGAGTTAATTCCCTCCGAGGCTGAAATACAGTTCTGCTTTCCATCGCAGGCAGAAAAACAGCCTTACAGCTTGTGTGGATGTTCTGGTCTTTAGTTTCTCTTTCAAGATGATGTGCAGTTTTATCCATTTTTGTTGGGTCTTACATAAATTTTCTGTTCATTGTCAAATAAAGATCAGAGTTGGTTTTTCCCATTAAGAGATTCCTGCACTTGTGTGCGTACTCGGTCGGATTTAAAGGGCCAATACCTTGGAAGAACAAAATTTCCTCACTGTTAGTGTTAAATAAAAGACTATGATGTATGTAAACAATGTTGAAGTTTTAAAAAGTACTGTTCATTCACCAGTACATATCTAGAAACTAAGCAAAAACAGCTTGAGCTTTTATGATGTCATGACAACCAACACATTAACATATACATCCACCTATTCAGTCTACAGCAGTTTAGCCCCACCCACCCACTCACACTGAAGTTATCAGGGGTATTTTAGCCTGGGGCCGTATTTCAATCTAAAGAACGCTTTCACCATGCAAAGAACACTAATCATTTCAAAGGGTTCTTTGAGCATTTGTGGTACTATATAGGACCATTTTCTTTACTGAAGAGCCTCTGAACCATCTTTAAGAGTTCAGGTGTGAAAAACTAAAAACAACCACTACCGTAACGTACCTCCTCGCTACAGCTCTTCAGCTGTTTATGAATGACTACAAGTGAGCAAACTAGTCAGCATTTTGAGCATTTTAGAAGCATTTTTATATCTGATTCCAAATGTATTTCATTTTTTTTAATCAATTATTCACCTTTTTCCTGGCATGTAAACGTTCCTTGACAAATCAATGCTCCTATAATCGGTCATCTGATTTGTCAGGGTTCACCCTTACACTGTTTTTGTGTGCACTGTTTTTGTTACTGTGGCTACACCGCTGCCCATTACCTTGCGGTCTGAAACACTCACAGTACCTATCAGAAGAGAACTGGAGGGGCTCTGTACGTGTTTTTGTACACTGAGGTACTTCTTCTTGTAGAGGTCTGCATTCTTGCACAACCCATCATGATATCTTATGGTGCAAAGCTAATTTCAGTGTGGTGTGTGGTTAACCATCCCAGTGCATAACATATACGTGTAAAGAAATCCTGCATTTTAACAAATAGCCTAAAAATATGGTAATCACTTAATAACTGGCATGCATAAATAGAATCTGAGAGCAAAATTACAAAAATTAACAAATGCATTTTCAATAGTTGTGAACCAGCCAATCACATGAACATCATGAGAATTGCTTTCTTGTAGGCTTCAGAAAAGGCAGAGCCTTCCGACAGACAGACAGACAGCTGTGCAAAGTGCTCTTATAAAGGTGAATACATGCCGAATAAAAGAGATCACATTAGTAACAAGAAGTAACTCAGTATTTTGTGGCAATAAACTGGTTATGAAAGTTGATACTGTAAACACGTGTTGAAGATCCTTCTGGTGTGGGTTCACTGCTGTTTCTTCTCTAAATGACAAAGCCTCTTTAAAAGACTACCTGCGTGCTAACAGTGCCTCCTGATGGAGAAACTTCACACTGTTAAACAAGAGTTTCAAAGCCTTGTCCATGTGACTTACATGTTTAAAACGAGGTGTTTTATGTTGTTATAGAGGAGGCGCTCAGATGCCTTTGGGAAACTATGAAGTACATTTTCTAAATTTTACAGTTTTTAATATTAAATATCATTTAGGAAGCTAATTTAAATTAAATTAGTCCACCACTTCTGTCAGATCTTTTTCTCAACATGCTGATAATCACCTCTGAAATATTGCCAGCTTCATTATGTTAATGGAAAAACAAATGAAATGGCTGATTCTACATAAAAGAACCCTTTCAGTTTTCGTCTTGTTTGCCCTGAATTTTGCTTTTCAACTATAAATTCTCACCACTAGCTATAAAGGATTAGCAACTGAATCAGCCTGAACTGAGTGATTTCACAGATTGAAATTATCCTGACAAACAAAAAGCAGCTTTTTTGTAAATTTTTTGTTTTTTTGTAAAAGTTTGTTTTCATTGGTTACTGCATTGTAGCTTAGCAACAGGAAGACGTGCAGTCAAAACAGCAGCATTCAAAAACACAGCGTGACTGAGATGACAGATTCTGGTTAAGTATGTATTTTTTTCAAATATAATTTTAACGGTCATGAATTCATACTGTTTCAGAACAGTCATTTATTTCTCAGATTTTTGCAGTTATGACTCCAGCCTAGCTGAGGCGATGGTGACTGCTGAAAGAGATTTGAACACACACATACAAAACTTCTCAACGGATAAAACGAAAGCTTGCTTGCAATTAACACACGGCTGCGTTCTTCATCAAAGTGAAGACGTCTGCTTCGCAAAGTCATTGTTAGCCGTCCATAATCAGGCAGTTAGGCAGCAAGACAGTGGATCAAACAAAACGTTAGATCCTTCTCTCCCTGAAGGGATCAATAACCCCCATTTCTAAAACTCTCAGGGCCCAAAGACACACAGAGGAAATGTGTCAGGCCAAGATATAATTATGCACCACTGAAAAAGAAGGACAAATCAAATGGGCATCAAGCGCAGTAAAGTGGGCCACAGTATTCCTACATGACAGTTCCTCATGCTCGGTGGTGGAGGGGGGCTGCGAATGATTTCATTATAAATGCACTTCATGACAACTGAATTAAGGACAGAATGTACCAGGTACACGATTTTTGTGAAGGGGATACTGAAGATGTCTTGGGTCAACACAGAAGAGTTAACTAATAAAATACTGTATATACAGTGAAGCGGCAGGTAATAAGACTTATCTGTCCCATGACAAATCATTAAGAATAGTCATTTCTGAGTATAAGTGTCATCAGTACTTCAAGCAAGGCTGGGCAATGAGACAATATGTGGTTATCATGATAAATTGTGACATAATACAATACAGTATGTTTTTCTGTACACAGTGTGAATAACATCAGTACTTTTAACACTGACCAACTGCTTTTTCATTATAAAGAGAGTAAAGGTAGTCCAGCTTAACTGGATTTAGTGCCAAGTATAGAGTAAAAACCATTGTATTCACAGCTTTTGATTTTAAATGTAGGTTATTTTTTCTCTGTTCCAACTGGTCAGGTGTCTGAAAAAAGAAATGACATACCATGTAGAGCTGGGCGATATGGCCAAAAATGTTATCACGATAAACAAAATTCATATTGTTCGATATCGATACATACCGCGATAAATGTCAAATCATTATTTCTTTCAAGTTTGAAGGCTGATTTTTGGTCCTGGGGGGTTAATCGCTTTATGGTCGGAACACGACAAACACTCACCAAACAGTGGAACATTTCACAAATCTGTCATGGGAGAATGGGAGAGAGTGTCTGGTGAGCTGTTTTTACCAGCTGGAAAAGCGTGGCTATTTTGTAATAGTCATAATTTAAGAAAGAAAACATTATTTTTAGCTGGTGCCGAGCGTTCGGCTACCCCGCTACAAATGACATCACAGTATTTAGACACCAGCTAGCGCCGACTGGATTTCTCTATACTATCGTAGTAGTTTAAGTGGTGCACCAAATAATATCAACACCAGACAAACAGAGTCCTCCTTTTAGGTACATTTAAACTGAAAGCGGTGCTTTTGTGTCTTGTTTGATCTACAGTATCATCAATTCTCCGTGCTGTGTGAGTTACAGAGCTGCTTCAAGTTAGCCAGCTGCTAAAAACAGCTAGCCTGGAAAGCTAGCGTTCTCCCGCTCTCCAATGCCTCACAGCTTCCTCAGTTTACTTTCGTTTAAATCAGGGCTGTAATTTACATGAACCCACTTCTTTTCTTTCACTTTCGTTGCTTGGGAATGCACTCATACTTAAATATGACTGTCCGAACGCTGTCACAGCGCTGTAGTTGTGAGGAGTGTGATTGTGATTTAACGCTGCTAAAGCTGGTTAGGATGTACGGAAAGAGGTGAGTTCGCTGTAGGACAGTAACCTATAGTTACACCACTGACCTCGTCACTCACTCTCGGTCACAGGAGAACAGATCGCCGGTCACTCCACTCAAACAGGGAATGTATAACTCCGTGTTTCAGCCGTTGCTAAAGACTCATCTTACTCGTGGCCCCCTCCCTCTCTAATCATGTAGAAAAACTCGGAAGTGCGCCCTCTACTGGCGACAGCACAGTAATGTCGCTTTCCCTGCAGTAGAAAACGCCACCAAGGCTTTCGCTGAACGTGGGAGTGTGAGAATGGTGTATTATATCGACATTTATCGAACATGTCGTATCGCTCTATCGAGGAAAAGTTATTTCGCGATAATTATCGTTATCGTTTTATTGCCCAGCCCTAATACCATGTATCGTGAAAATTTCTTAAAGTATTGTGATATTATATCTTTGCCATATTGCCAACCTCTAACTTCTAGTACCATCCAGCACAACAGGAATAAAATATATAAAAGGCAGATTTAGATCTGTCAGCTTCAAATTATACAGAGCATGTAAACAAAAATAACCAGTACATGCGAACAAGTAACAAAATTGTAATCATAGTTTTAGCTTCTTTAAAAGATTTTGAAACAATAATATCAGTATCGACTATAAATTACTAAGTATGTACTATGAAGTATTAGTATTCAGTAACTACTACAAATTATACTGTATCGACTATGAATTATTCAGTATCAACCATAAATTATTCAGTATTTACTAACTATTCAGCATCTACTATGAAGTATTAGTATTCAGTTACTACTATAAATGATTCAGTATCAAGCACAAATGATGCCGTATCTACCACAAATGATTCAGTAATTACCACAAATTATTCAGTATCTACTATGAATTATTCAGTAACTACTACTAATTATTCAGTAACTACTATGAATTATTCAGTTTCTAATATGTATTATTCGGTCTCTGCTATGCATTATTCAGTATCTACTAAAATCACTATATTATTCAGTAACTGCTAGAATTATCTGGTATCTACTATAAAACTAATGTCTAAGTTCTATGGTAATGAGAGTGAGGGACTGAAGTTTGAGAGGTTTCAAGAAGAAGAAAAGGGCGGGTTCCTTTGCTTGATCATAGCACAAAAAAAGGCCTCTGTGAGAAGCTCTTCAGCAACTTCCTCAAACTGTAATCTCCTGTTTTAAACAGATGAAGTGATAGTGAGAGAGGAACACTGTTCTCATGTTTTTACACTGAGTTTATGCTTGGTGAATACGGTGCTCTGAGTGGTTGTAAATGGGTTTAAATCGGTTATTTGTGTGTACCAAAGTCTGGGGAGTGTGTAGTGGAGTAAACTAATTTTAATTTTACCTTCACAGGTGTCGTCTCCTTCTGACATGAGCTCATCATCAGAGCAGATATTTAACACGTTCACCAGCATCTCTGTCACTGAACACACACAAAAACAAGAGGAAAAGAGCTTCAGAGTCTCTCACACATACACTGCCTTACTAATAAGGGGAGGGTGATAAGACAGCATTTTTTTGTATTATATTAAATTACATCAAGGTAAACCACAATACACTTTTCTGAGAATACTGTGAAGCTCGGCAGGACAGACCACCACAGCAATCACAACAGCAGTGTTTTTATTAATGTAAGGTCTCAAGAAATATTTGATGTTTCAAAGCAACACCTGACTGTTTCTGTGGTACTGAAGCTTGAAGGCTAACTTTAAATATACTATATATATAAAATAAACATGTTTTGATTATTAGAAATTAATTTTGTCCACAGGATTCAATGGCTTATTAACAGAGTGATCAGAGCAAACACTGCTAGGCATGTGGATCTATTTACAGTAACTGTCTTGGTTATATAAAATTAGTCAGTGATCAGTCTTAAGTAGGTCCAGTCGGCTTGGTACCTTTCTCCCCGACGAAGGGCAGAGACCATGTGAACACGTCCATGAAGTTGGGCAGCCAGTACGGATGAGGAGAGCAGTTAAACTGACGGATATTCATCACATTGTTCTCATATTTCAACACAGCAGCTGATCAGAGAGAGAGAGAGAGCCAGAGAGAGCCAGAGAGAGCCAGAGAGAGCCAGAGAGATAGATGAGGGCAGAGAGATTGACAGAGAGAGAGAGAAAGAAGGGGAGACAAGAGAGAGAGAAAGGGAGAGAGAGGAGGGCAGAGAGAGTCACAAAGAGAGATGAAGAGACAGAGAGAGGGGGAGACAGAGAAGACAGGAAAAAGAAAAAGAAAAAGAAGTAGTCAAAGGACAGAAAGAAAAAAAGAGAGACAGACAGACAGACAGAGAGAGAGAGAGAGGAGAGACAGAAAGAGAGATCAGACAGAAAAAAAAGGAATAGGAGAGATATATAAGGGGGGGAGAGAGAGAGAGAGAGACACAAGGGGAACGAGAGAGAGATAAGGGAGAGAGAAAGAGAGAGATAAGAGGAGAGAGAAAAAGAGAGAGAGATAAGGGGAGAGAGAAAGAGAGAGAGAGAGAGATAGACGGGGGGAATTCATGTTAGTCTGTAAGTTTGATGTTCACACCCAACAGATCGATACTGTATGACCTTCTCTGTGTTCCTCCAGCAGACTCACCTTTATTGTTATAAACATCTAAGTAGTTTGGTGCTGAGAAGATTGTGATTAAGGAGGGAAACCCTGTCGTCTGGCTTTTCCTGTACATTCGATACCTAAAAAGGGCAAAAAGATAATCAATAAATTTGACTACTTAATTAATTAAGGTAAATTCTCAGCAGATGGATGCTGTACTCACCCTGCATCCTGGGCTTCGTGTGCTCGGATTATTGACAACAAATTATTGTTCATTAGGAAGTCACACACAGCAGGATAACTGAGGGGAGAGCAGAGATTATTAACAGTTCCGTTTAGTAACTATATTTACAGCATATAACAGCCTGACTAACCACACTTTCACATCAGGAGGCAACAAGTTAAAAGCAGCTTTCTGCTTTATGAGCTTTTGTACCAATGATCAGTATTTCAGTTTTTTTGTGATTTAATTGTAGATTATTTGCAAGAAATATCTGACACACAGCTGGTCAGTCTGTGTACAGAGTCTTGATCATCAGAAGGAATGGAAATGTGAATGTGACATCACCTACAGGTAGCATGTACAAAGAGAAAAGCAAAGGCCCTAAAACTGAACCCTGAGGGACTCCACAAGAAATACCAAATCTTTTTGATGAATGATTTCCCATTGAAACCATGAACTGCCTATTACCTAAATATGATTTAAACCATTCTAAAACTGTGCCCAAGAGGCCTACCGAGCTTTCAAGATGTTGGATTTCAATCTTGTGGTCCTGCCATAAAAGCTCCTGTAGGTGTAATGTGTCCCAATACTTCTGTCCATATAGTGTATTTATCAACTGCAGTTCCTTTGACAGACATCCCAAGCTCAAGTGTGTAGGGAACACAACAGTACTGCTTTAGAGTACTTTAGTTTTGGTTTTCACCTGCACACTTATAACTTTGTTTTACAAGAGATTTATTATTTATACCACCAGGGAATTTAAACAGGTAGGATGGGGAAGCTTATACATTCACACCCCAGAAAAGTCCACTCTGTCTAGTTCCCTAGGTCAGAGGGCACCCCCGCTTGTACTTATTGTTACTGGCCAGGGAATGTAGAGTAGTTAGCTTTGTTTCCTTTTGTAGTTTAGCTAAGTACTCTTGTTTCAGAGCAGGCAAGCGAGGTTAGGTTTTTTGTTCTTTTCTTTGGTGCCATCCACAGTTTTGACTCTTTCAGTGTGGTACTAGATATCATAGCACACCACTGTATTGTGCTTGGTTTTAATAAAATATCTGGGCTGCTGTGTTTTTTATAGACAACGTTAGCTACCAGAAAACATGGAGAGTGACAGAATCAAACGGCACTTTTGCAACTTCGAGGACTTACGAGGTTGAAGATTTTTCTCCACTACTATCCCCATCTTCGACGAGGGAAGGTGTTTCTGATCAGACAGTTTGTGTTGAGCCTGAACAGTATGAGCCACTGACTCAAGCCGCCAAAGATTTAACACAGTGCGAGGAAATGATTAACAGAGAGTGGGAGAAGCGTCCAAAAGGGAGATCATTCACTAAAACCATGACAGCTCGCTTCTAATTATCTGTTTAGCAGGTCTATATTCAATATATAACAAAGAAAAACATTTGAGAAAGGCTGTACGGACGAGAGGTTGACACAGTCAGTAACAATGGCCAATTAACTTTAACCGTTCCTGAACCTTTTCGCTTTCCACAGTTCCAGTGTTGCTCGCCGTTGATTTCTGTTCAGTGAGTCGCGCCCGAGGGTTTGATTTGTGAAGGGAAATGTGAATCGGATGCAACACCAGCAGCTTTACGGAGACTGAATCCTCACTCAATCGGTCCTTCAGGTTACACAGTCATATGTTGAACCTCATCAATAAATGTGCTAATCATACCATTTGTTACAAACTAAACTCAGATTAATTGGGTTATTTGCAGTAGGTACAGACAGCTGGCATATCGTGAGGTGGTGCTGGGGGTATTTAGCTCAGCGCGTGAGTGTGGTTATCTCTTTGCTCTAGACCCCTATTCTTTCAAATTTATGAGTGCGGCACGAGTAGGGGGTCATCAGGGGGCAGTAACGTTTTTTGACTGATTTGCATACTGTGGTGTGTCATATCGTGCTTTGGTACGAAGACACGTCATCAGCGCCTACAGGAGAGTTGAACCAGAGGGCGCTGCAGAGGCAAAACTGACCATGATAAAAATGCTATTTTTACCGTTTGGAAAGATGTGTTCATATTGTAAGCAAGGCTGGTATATTTTATTATTACAGAGCAGTGCATTTCAGCTGTTAATGAGAGTGCAGGGTGTAGTTACTCTTTAACAATACCTGTAGAAGTAGGAGCAGCCCCTCACACTGTTGTGACAGAAGTGCTCCTGTGTCTTTTCGCTGCCGTAATCCTCCCCAGGGTCCGACCACAGCAGGTCACACATGGGCCCGAACGCTGGAGGCTCTTTAAACCTGTCTAACTGCAGAGCACACAAGCCACACACAGAGCTTTAAAACTGTCAGTTTGAGCAAAAACACACACTCCACTCATTACCTGACACGCTAAGATGCCTCACAACATGCGCACGAATGTTTTAAATCAGACTCTGAACTCGATTCTTTCACTGTACAACAGCTGCTTGCAATCTACCCCTCGCTGTGTGGAAGTTCAAGGTGAAATGTGTTATAAAACAGACTAAGGTTTGCTTCTTTAGTTTAACAGTGGAGCTGTGAGACTAATGCACCTAACAATTAGCACTGTGTACGCTGTGTGACATACTGTTATCTATAAAAGTGGACAAAAGGTGGCTGCTGCTGCTACTATTTTTAGCTATGTTAATGTACTTTAGTCCATGTTTATAGATAACAGTCATACAGTGTGAGAAACCACATAATCAAGTTTATTAGAGATACTATACAACAATGTACGCAGCAGTTAGCATCATGCTAATTGGTGGGGTATTAGCTTCCATTACTTGTTAGCTACATTAGCCTCACAGCTCCAAGCAAACTTAAGACACTGAACATGTCTCAGCTGAAGGACTACATTTAGAAAAGTTGTGTAAATTCAATTCTGGGCTGAACTATCACTTTATTTAATTGTACAGCTGAGTAACTGGATAAAGAGAATAAAACTTCTATTAATTTTATTAGAAATACATTCCGGATATTTTAATATCCAGGACGAAGGTGTAATAAAATTAATATCCAGAAAGAAGTTGCAATAAAATTAATATCCATAATAATGTGATAATAAAATACCCAGAATAAAACTTCTAATAAAATATCCAGAATGAAGCTGTAATGAAATTAATATCCATAATAAAACACTAATAAAACACCCAGAATAAAACTTCTGGTAGAACATCCAGAATGTATTCCTAATAAAATGAATATGCAGAACGAAGTTCTGATTAAACTAATATTTAGAATAAAGTTTTAATAAAATTAACATCCAAAATTAAAGTTCTAATAAATTTTAGGCAGATTATTTACGAAAAAAAAAAATGACTACAAATTATACAATTAAAGATGTATTATTTAGCAATTTAACGTGCCCAAAATGCTTTCATAGTGAAATAAAGGTTCTATATAGCACCAGAAAGGGTTCTGCTAATGATACAATGTCAAGGTTGTACATGCTTAAAAAAGATGGTTCCTCAAACGTTCTTAAGTAAAGGGTTCTTCTATTGTTACAAGCTTGACACAAACAACAGAACCCTTTTCAAGAAGGTTCTCAGTAGAACCATATACAACACATTCTCCATCAATCTGAAGAACCATTTCACAATGCAAAGAACTTTTTAATCATGCAAATGGTTCCTAAAGCGTTTAATACAGAATCGCTACTAAAGAACCCTTGAAGAACCATCTTTTTTTTAGGAGTTTATAGCTTACAGTATTATAACAAAAGGAGTTATCAATTAACAAATAATAATAATAATAATAATAATAACAACAACTTTTGTAGGTAGGAATAAACGCCGGTTACACCACATCAGCGTACACACACAATCAGGTGCGCACACCCTCGCGCACTCTTACCCTTCGGATGTCGTCAAGGCAGCTGATCTCAGGTGAGAGGCCTCCGTGCACGCAGAGAAACTGCTGATTCAGCAGCGCTGCCAGCGGCAGGCAGTCGAATGCCTCCATACATGCGTCATACACACACTCCGAATACTTGATCTTGCCTGTGAAGACACACACACACACACACACACACACACAGATGCATATATGTGAGTGAAGCAGGACTGCTCTGTCCGTTTGACGGATCACAGCAGCGCTGGGAGGACAGGGCCTGCCAACTTTCCACAGCAGGACGCATGCCTTGTTAGGTGATGTTTTGCTGGACATGCGGCTAATTACGAGGAACCGAGTCCAGTCAGGCGGTCATTAGAACACATACGATGCTCATTGTGTCCAGTTTTTAAGGGATAAGTGATGCAGGGCTTCTGCCGAGGCCAAACTCACCGCAGCCCACATCCTCATCACAAGAGCTCTCAGACCACACACTGCACTGTAATGTGATCGGATATCGAGACTGACTGACAAGAAGTAATACGATGTGTCGAAGGCAATAAACTGTTGGTAAACTGATGGAGAACTCGAGTGGACCAATGTCCAAATACAATTTAAAAAACCCAAAGTGGATGAAGACGTCATTCAGAGAACTATCCACTACTGTCATCATACCTTCATCAGTACGTTGTTCCACTTTAAATAGTGGCAACATTTTGGCCTCTCACGTCGCCATCATGAGAACTGTGATAGAACACTTTTCCATGGAACTTATCATAAAACATCATAGTGACACCTGCTTCGGTGGAGCATCTGCAACAGGCAAAACAGAACCATGAGAAGTATGTCAGCTTGTTATCTCACAAAGGCGCTTTCAGCTTCACGCAACCCTCGAGAATTTTGTTTTGCAAGAAGTACGCTGAGGCCTTAATACATACAGATGTGCAACGTGGTGTGAAAAACTCCCGATGCCTCTGACTTTTAATTGATTATTTCAGGCTTTACAGGGTGACTCGCAGCAGCGCGCACACACCATATTTCAGTAGTGATACTTCTAGCAGTTTTAACACAAATGTGCAGTTTTAAACTGACGACTTTGACAACAGAGAGACACTTTTTAGAACACTGAATTAAGTGAAGAGAGAAAGTAAAGCAGGAGGAGGGCAGGTAAACTCTGAATCTGACCCATCACATATGTGAGGAATGACCCAACAAAAGCAGTCGGGTCCCGTCGGGTCTGGAATATATTCAGAACTCTGTACTGATCGATTTTTCTTTAAAGCTGCTTTGTGATGACACCTGTATCTAAAAAGCGCTGTATAATAAACTCTGACGACTCCTGCAGATCTACAGTCCATGAGAGCACACTGCAGTGCGACCAGCTGCTGCTGGAGGACGACTGATCACAGGCATGCAGGGTGAGGGTGTGTGTGTGTGTATATATTTGTGGGTGTGTGAGAGATGAAGTGTGTGTAAGATGGAGTGTGTGGACTGTAGTTAGCTGTCAGTGTGTTGCTGCTCCCACTTTGACGGTGGCTGTAAATCTAAAAGTGGAATGCCGGATTTGACAGCTGCTGACAGACCGTAATGGGCTATTACACACACACACACACACACACACACACACACACACACACACACACACACACACACACTACACGAATGTATCTAGCGTGTGCAGACACAAACTCACAGGATGGGACGGCAGGAAAATTTTAGAATATCAGTAACCAAAAAGATCACTGTTCTCTGCAGCATCACGGCACAGTTAAAGCGCCCAATTATAACATTTATATACCAAAAACAGCTGTAATTCATTTTCATTTGCGTATATATATATATATATATTTTAAATCTCTCTTTATCCCTCACACAGAGCAAGCACCCAAATGTAGCATTGTATCACGTGACAAAACCTTCAGGACATCTCCACCAAAACCTCGAGTGCACTCATCAAGTCAAATGTAAACGAACCAGCCCTTGAAGAAAATATCTGCTTTACTGATGAAGCTGTGGTTTTGAGACACTGATTTACTAGCGTGTATTCTGGGTTATGTTTTATGCCCACATTAAAAATCAGGAGTCTAAATATTACACTTAAAATATTAATATACCGCTCTGGTATTGGGCAACTCTGTTGTATCTGCTAGGTCTACTCAGTGATGAAAAACAAATGGCACTCACGTCAAACTTCTAGCACTCTGACTATCTCTCTACAAATTGTTTACTGGAAGAGTTGCAGTGATCCAGAGCGACACGATGCGTCAAAAACAGAAACAGAATGCCCTTTAAAAACGGGGCGTCCTCACAGCTGGTGTAGACAGCTTCACTGGTTATGATGGGAGCAATTTGGTTTTGTCTTTGCGCCATTAGGTCGTTTTGTTACTGTGTGAAATTAATTTGATGAATTATGACTTTCAAAACTGATGTCAGTTCACTAATTATGATTTAGGATGTTTTCACACTTGGGCCATTTCAGTGTCTGAAGTGGACTCAGACTGCTCAGTCATGGTTTTTTGCGCGTATGTGAACACACCAAACATACTCAGACCCTCTAAACACCCCCCAAAACAAACCTCTCTTGAGGTGGTCTGAGTTCGGTTTGCTTTGCTTTATGGTGAAGACCTTGAGGCTCACCGTACACACTGCCACGCTCTTCAGCACTTCAGCAGGTAAAACAGATCCTCAAGGATCATTTATAGGGTTCTACTCAGGATAAAGTCTGTCCATGATCTGTGACAAGACAGCAGCTCTGATACATTTAAGTGATAATATGCCAGAGCCTGTGTGATTTTACCATGTTAAAGGCTCATACTAGTCAGGCAGGCAACACAGAGCTTTAAGCTGCTTTCACACTGAACGCTGAATGAATGAAAGTTCACCACTGACGCGGACTTTCGCCAGGTGGAGCACAGTAAGGAGCACAGCCGAAAACGGAACCGCGGACGCACAGGGTCATTTTTCCAATTTTGCGTGATGCACTTCGGCCAATTGTTTCAGCACAGCCAACAGGAGAGCAGCAGGCGAGTCTGTAGCTCCTCCTACCACCTGAAAGGTTAGATTTATTAGAGAACATTGCCCACTTTGTGGCAGCAGAGCTATTTACTGATATTGTGACTTTTTAAAAGCAATCATTTACGGTTATTGGAATTATTAAAACAAGAAACTGTGAGGCTGTAACTGAAACGGTTTGCGTTTAACGGTGATATTTAATTTCACCGCTGTCTGAACAAAACCTTGCATCTCCAAAATGATACATTTACAGTAGAAGAAAAAACATACTCTGCTTTTAATGTACGTCAATGGAACCAGACGTCTTTCCAAGTAATTATAGGCCATTTCTTTTGGTCCATTCTTCATGAAATTAACACACAATGTAAAGGACAATAGATGCTTTCAAATGATGTCAAAAACTAGAAAACAATAAGAATGGAGACACTAGGTTTTGTTCCGACAGCAGTGATATGTTGGTCATCATGAATTTCCAAAGAAACTGAGGGCATGACCATTTCCCACAGTGCAGTGCTCATTTCTAGCAAACAGTGTAGATCATCACATCATCATTTACACCACTGTGAGTTTCCTGTTACTAAGCAACAGACAGAGAAACATTAGGTAACATTAAAGGGCCCATATCACAGAAAACGAACTGCCTCCACAAGCAGCAAAAACATTAAAGGCCAACAGCAGTAAAGTGCAGTCAAGGGCCAAAAATTAGGCTTCGTTTACATCAGCAGGCTGAAGTGGCACAAATCTGATTTTCTGCCCTAATGTGACTCAGATCTGCTGTTTTCAGAGCAGTGTGGACAAACAAATCTGATTTTTTAAAATCTGGTCTGGACCACTTTCATATGTGGACCTAGATCAGATATGTGTTCGATTCGAGGCCATGTGACCTTAATGATAAGCTCAGGTCAGAATTCACGTTTCTCACTGCACGTGCACCATCGCTCAGCGTTAACGTGGCAGCAGCGCCGAACCTGAAGTCAGCGCCAGTGAACTGTGGAAAAGCTACATATCTGACCCTTTTTCTCCTTCGTCTCGTTCTAATGAAGCTGAGAACAGCAATGCTACCCAATCAGCACTCAGTAACAGTAACGTCAACCAATCAGCACTCAGTAGCAGTAATGCCAAACAATCAGCGCTTCCTTTGATTTTTTTAGTGAAATAAATTTTCTACATTCCAAAATTAGAGGAAGTTCGGGCATAAATCACTTGCAGACATCCTCTACAATTTTGCAGTCATGTTTTTTAATAACACTGAACAAACAGGAAGTGGTCAGACTCGCCATAAACTGGCTCTGGCAGGTTGTCTTAAGATTCATATGCAGATTGGTTCATTTTTGTTTTTTTTTAATGAGGGGATTATTTTAATATTTTTCAATTATGCTTTTAAATCCGAATATCAAATCTGGCAGAAATGCCCCTGCCTATTTTTTACTGCCCCATATATAGCCTAGTATAATATTGAGAGAGCGAGCCCCACTTCAATCACAGCCTGTGACAATGTTTTACTGGGTTTTACTGTGCTACAGAAGAAAAAAAAAATATACCATCACTAACACATACACACACGTTTGTTTCTGTGAATTATGGACATCACACAGACTTCCATTCATTTACTGGAGACTTACCCAAACTTTCACCATAACTGCTACTATCCTAACCTTTAAAACATGTATTTACCTTAAACTAATGATTTACATTGTGGGGACCAGTCTGTGGGAAGAAAGGTCCCCACAATACAACTGTATAAGCAGGTTTTGGTCCCCACAATGTGGCATAAACTTTATACACACGTACGGGTCTGAGGAACAATACTTACACTCCTGTTTGAAGGTGAAGTACTCTGTGAGGTGCCGGCACTCGTGGTTTCCTCTCAGTAGGAAGAGAGTGGTGGGGTGGTTTATCTTCAGGGTCCACAGGTACAGGACACACTGCAAACACACACGCAGAATGAGAAAGCAACACCAACACACACCGAACAGCATAATGATGCTTATGATGCTTTGATAAGAACAGATTAGTCCTTTAAATACAGAGTTTTTTAAAAAAAATTTAAAACATAAGTACATTAACATTAAGAATTCAACAAAACTTTATTATTTTGAAATTAAAAGTTTTTTTTTTTATATAAATACTACAATAAATACAAATGAATACCACTCAAAATACTCCAGTCCAGTGCTGCAATTCAAACAGAAGAGGACCCCTTTCATCAGCTGCTCTTTTCTATATTAAGAGCCGCTCCAAAGTCCCCATCGTAACCCACCCAAACACTGCTTAAACAGAACAGCTCTTAAACTCACTGACATTTACAGACGAGTGTCGAAAAAGCACTGCAGGCCTGAAGGCCGTGTGTACGTGAGTGTGCGTACGTGAGCGTGCGTGAGTGTGTGTGCGTGTGTGTGTGAGTAAGAGAGTTATACATGGTACTGAAAAACTGAAGAGCAGAGATAACTGACTGGTCATTCATACATGTACATATAAACATAAATTTTCAACTTAATACAGAAATGCTCTTAATTAATCACATTATTAAGTGCCTATTATAAATTATTCAGTAACTATGAACTACTCAGTATGTACTATTAATTGTTCAGTACCTATTATCATTTATTCAGTAACTACTATGATATCGTCAGTATTTAGTATAAATTATTCAGTATACACTACAAATTATTCACCACCTAGTATAAATTATTCAGTATCCATTATAAATTACTCAGTATCTACTTTGAATTACTCAGTATCTACTAAGAATTATTCACTACCCACTATGAATTTTTCAGTATATACACTATGAAACATGAAAGTTATGTAGTTAGAGCACAAAATCGAAGTCTGAGCTCTTTCATTTGCATTTTTTAATTTATTCTTTATAGTGATGCAACGATCCAACATACCTCATTTCTTCCTCATCTTGTATATTTATTTGCTTCTTTCTTTTTATAGTTCAAATGTGATGTGCAATTACAGCCTTATGTAACCATACACACAAAAGACTCCAAGCAGTGAAGTACACAGATTCTACCTTGAAAAAGAAAGAGCACTGCAGAATATCCTGCAGCAGGAGGAATGCAGCTTCTAGTGTCTCCTATAGACCCCTATAAAATGCACCTACGAAGACTGTGCCATTACATATACGCTAATACTAAAAAATGTATGAGTACACACACACACACACACACACACACACACACACACACACAGAGAAAGAGAGAGAGCTTCAGTGTGAAGGTGGCAAAACTCAGTGTAAAATATGAAAAACTAAAACTGTTATATTAAAGCATCCAGCAACATTTGAAAAAAAACTGACAAAAATATAATAAAATATTATTAAAAACATTCATCTGTGAATTGACTGGGCATGGTCCTAATATTCTAATGAGCACCCATGATTGACAGCCCTGAGTCTAACGCTCTCACCCTGCTACAGCACTGAAGCACAACTGAAGAACAACACAAACGAAGTGGTTAGAAATGAGTGAAGTGGGCTCTACATACATAAGTGGTGCTGCAGACTCTGCTGTGTCCACTCTATAAACATCATCCAGCTTCTAAAGGTGAAGTGTACAATTTCAATCCAATACACTTTTTTACCAATTTTGTCAAATTCAGATATATCAAATATCTCCTCACAGTGTGCTAGCTCTCCGTTCTGTGCCCGGTGTTGGTACACAGCCCTCATTCTGTAAATGGAAACAAAGTATCTCTGACAAAACGACTCAACAACACTCCAGGCAATCAGCAATAGGGGGTGTTCTTCGTGCTTGCGCACAGGACAGGGGGGAGGGGACGGGCTACATGCTAAACTCTGTGCATTTTCAAGAAGGAGAAACAGCATAAGAGGAGAACATCTGAAGAACAGAGACTGAGGAAAATGCTCTTAGATCAGGTGAGGGCGTTTCAGTGAGGCTCATCATGGGATTAGTCCATATAACATTTGTGAAGTTTGTTTAATTTAATTTTAATTATCTTAATTAATTTTTAAAAAAAATAAAAAGTTTGCCAGCCCAGTGTTGGTAACCTTGGCAATGTGCGTCCATGAAATCGGGGGTGGAGCTTCTGAGGCAGCACTGAAGGGAGGGATGTATTTGTTTTGCTGCCATTCTCCCTAATATAAGTCAGTGTACCATCAGTGTAATTTTTACATAATGTTGCTTTAAAACTGTGGGCAGGACAAAACCAAATCAGCCTTGTGATTGGTGAGGATACTACTTATGTACACATGACCCCATGCAACAAGATTAAGACTGTCCAGTTTACATGGAGTTGGCAAACTCCATCCACCATTTAGTGGCACATGACATACTTTGTATATGTATACTGTGGCCCACTAGAGTAAGAGTGACCTACTTATAAAGAAAACACGGATTTAGGGTGCCTGGGGCTTTCAATAAAGTTACTGTTATCATTGGTAAAAGTGAATTAGCAGAGCTAAAATCAGGGAAAACACTAAACTCTGGCGCAGTCAGGACAGTACTGATGTAAACACTACACCATACTCACAGCTCATTAAACCAATCTCATTAAATTCTAGCCTGGCTCTGAAGATCTCATCACCTGATTAGATTAGCGAGAGGATTCTGCTTTAACTGTAGTCAAACTCCACTGCCAATCAGAACACCACTGAGCGTCTCAGTGTGCACAACGCTACAGGATGTGCTGTGGGTTTAACACACCACCGGCCCACAGCACTGTGGTAAACACCAGCTCGCGCACACAAGAGCATCTACAGAAGAAACATCAAAACGCTTTAATAGAGCCACCTAATCTAGCCATTACAATACCTACACCAGGGGTCGGCAACATGTGGCTCTTTTACTGTCCTGCTGCGGCTCCACAGCAGAATTAGACTTAAGGTAAAAATAAAAATCCTCCTTAGCAGTAAAATAAAGCTCTGCTGATCGTACTAACATAGCTTTAACAATAAATGGTCTTAAACGCTGGAGTTAATATAGAACTGCTAATTCACCCTTTAATCTTGAAGATAAGTGCACAGACTGCCGTTCACCATAGCATCGCAGACAACAATCTTGCCTAGGTAGTAGCTAACAAAACAGCAAAGAGAGAGATTTAATTATTGGACTTGTTTGCATCTACAATCACTTTAGCTGGTTTCCTGATACATTTAATCTGCAACGAGAAACTGTCAAACACTAAAAGCTGCGACAAAAAAAATCAGTTTCTCATTTGCCAGCTTCTTGTTCAAATTTTCCCGTTCCACCATAAATGAAGTGACTTCAGCTTCAAATAAAAAGGCAAATGTTAAGAGAATTTTACAAGAAACTATTAGACTTTTGCATAAAAGTTTCGTGTAAGAGATGCGAGAAAAGCAGCTACAGCTGAGCTAAAGCTTAAAGCAGAGCAAAGTAAGTCTGTGTTTTTGTTTCTATAATATTTCTTAGCCTATACTATTACATTAGCACATACTGAGACATATTAACAGCCAAGATGGTCAAATGTTACTTTAATAAAATGGACATAATATTGCAGCTCCCAAGGTGTTTTGATTTTTGTTAAAAGGACAAAATGGCTGTTCTTAAATTCTGGGTTGCTACTCCTGGTCTACTGACTCTTATTTCACAATACCTACATTTAGTCAGTTATTCATTCAACCTAATGAGAAACCGTAGAACACGACTGACTACAGCATCTCATTAGACTGAATGGCATTTTTACCAGCGTTCTGTAAAGCCTGTCCAACTTGGCAAAACAAAAGCAACATTATCCTGAATTACATGTTCCCTTATTAATGTTCGGTTCTCCAAAATCCACAGAAGTGTCACTATTGGTGCAGATGTAGATGCCTGTAATTTGAGGCTAGTCTCAGTAACCCTGGTGTGTGGAACTGTAACCTGTGGAGTGTTTGATGACCACAGAGCCGCAGTGTGAGGGAGGCGGTGGGAGGTATAGACACGACTGAAGTCCGCTCCTTTGTTCACACAGAACGTCTGTGATGTCCAGAGAGAGCCAAAACATCTGAGTGGCCTTTTTTACACCACACATACACAGTGTTTGATGGTGTGGAGCAGCAGTGTGTCCACCCGCACACCTTCTCTTTCAACTGTGACATTTCATCCTACCACCTGAACTCTACTCCCAGCATGCACTGCAGAAGGGCAGCTCTGTAAGGGCACACACAAAGCTAAAACACGAGCAAAGAAAATATGGCATCTCTAAAGGACACAGACAATAAGAAGATAAGATTTTCACCAGCACATCACAATCATGACTAAGCTTTTTGTTTCCAAAAAAGGGAAGAAAACCAAAAAAAGAGCGAATATCCTACATTTTTCCTATTTTTTTCCCTTCTTAGGTGGTTTTACACATCAAAATGAGTCATAATTCATTTTCCAACCTCTCTTTTAGAACCAACCAGGTTGTTTTTGTTACTGATATGTATATGAGCTCTGTTCTGATTGGCTGCCCTGTAATGTGCCTCATTCAAAATGCATTCAGAACTGAAACACCGCTTAGAATTTCAATGAGTGGGTGGGGCTAAACTGCTGCAGGTTGAACAGGTGGATATATGTAAATGAGTTGGCTCTCATGACACAAACAGCAAATTCAAAACTGTTTTTGCTGTTTAATTTCCATATATGGACTGAGACAAACTTTAACAGTGTTTACATATTAATTTAAACCCCTTTATTTACAACAGGTGAAGAAAATTGGGTTTTTCATGATGTGGATCCTTTAATCTAATCCAAAGTAATGCAAATATAAGTATCAAACAAGAAAAACGACACAACTAGGCACTCCAAACTGAGCAGAGTGAGCATGATGAGCTTTAACGCTGTGATTCTCAGTAGTATTAACTGTAAGCTCCACCATCTTGTCATCATCTCTACCATCATATCTGTGGTTTCCTGAACTGCTTCAGCGCTGCTGGGAAGTGTTCAACCACACTGATGTCTTGATCAATTAAACAGGCTTGTTTTAATGATCTTAATTGTTAAACTGTGCCCGGGTCAGCTCCTTATGCCATTACAGCAGTTGGCAGTTTTTTTCTGTTTTGTTTTTGTTTTAATAATAATCCTTTGCAGTAAAATAAAGCTCTGCTGATCGTTCTTTTAAAAATGAAAGGTCCTAAACGGTGGAGTTAATGTCTAACTGCTAATTCACCCTTTAACCCTGAAGGCTGGCGCACAGACTGCTGCTCATCACAGCAGCTCAGGCGACAGTCTCACCTAGCTAGTAGCGAAAAGGCAAAGTGAAAGATTTAAGATAACCACTGATAATTTGGAAACGAATAGACTTATCTGCGTTTTTAAGCACTCCAGCTGGTTTCCCTGTACGTTTAATCTGCAATTAGAAACTGTCAAACACTAAAAAGTCACAAAGCTTTCTCACTTGAATTTCGCCACCTTCTGACTTGAATTTTCCCGTTCCACCTTAAATAGTGCAGCAGCTGCATTTCGGTGCCTCAGGCGCCATATACGCTAGAATGGGAAAATTCGAACATTTCAGCCTTGTAAGTCGAACGTTGAGAGACATTTTACAAGAAATTATTCCACGTTTGTGAAAAGGTTTCCTGCCGGAGATGTGAGAAAAACTGCTATATCTGAAGTAAAGCTTAAAGCAGAGGAAAGCAAATCTGCATTTTCATTTATATCTTCTATTCTATATTAGTACATTAGCACATATCGAGACATATTTACAGCCAAGATGGTAAAATAGACATAAAATGTTGTGGCTCCCAAGGTGGGCAAAATGGCTCTTCTTAACATTTCAGTTGCGAACCCTGTGCTATACCAAAAAGCATCCTTGGGCAAAACTCCCAACACTATCACCTTCGCCTACCCCTAAAAAATGATGCAATTGTAAGTCGCTCTGAATAAGAGTGTCTGCCAAATGCCATAAACGGTTTTTGACTCACCAGGCCACAGAGATTAAGATTAAAAATGAGCCAGCTGGCTAAAGCTGCTTTCACACTGAATGTGGTGTGTGCTGTGCTCGCCGCTCAGGTCTGTGGCAAGTAGCTTTCACACCACTGGTGGCATGTGCAGCACTCGCCAGCTGGGCGTGAAAGTGCACATGCTCGGCGATAAAACTAGCCTTTCTGGTAGCCACAGGAACCATCAAACATGCCTACTGATTTCCTATTGGTCGCGCAGAGCAACGGTTGAAGTTAAAATAATTTAACTTTTGCATGACCCTGTGTGTCTACCATGGCAGACATTTTCTGCCAAGATCCGTTTTTGAGCCGCGCATCCTACCGAAAATATTGTGTTTGAAAGCGCAGCGTTCAGTGTGAACATAGCTTGACACAGGTACATTTACCTTTCGGCTGATTAAAGTACATCAGCTGTGATATTTTAGTAAAATAAATAAATAAGGAACAAATGACAGAAAGGAGGGAAAAAAAAAGAAAAACTGTATCTTGTCAACATTATTTAACTTATTCCCAAAGATTTTTTACTTGTTTTAGATCATTTTATTATGTAAAATTCTCACTATATTGGCAAATAATTTTGCTTGTTTTAAGAATTGTGCTTAAAACCAGCAAAATTATCTGACACTATAGTGGGATCATTTTACTAAATAAAATTACCTAAAAGAGGTAAATAATGTCTAGAAATAAGTGCACAACCATCTCAAAATAAGAACTATTGGATGTATCAACTAGAATTAAGATAATTGCACTTGACGAAACACTTTTATTGCAGTGTGTGCAGGGTGCACTCCACACCAAATTAAACACTTTCTAGATGACCTTGTTTGATGTTCTTGCTTCAGTGGAAAATGTATGATAAAATAAGCTGAAAAACACTGCAGATTTTTCAACTCCTCCCCTCCGGCAGGCGCTACAGAACCCTGAACACAAAGGCTACCATACACAGAAACAGCTTCTTTCTTCAGGCCATCACCTTCATAATAAGCTGACCAGTAATATCATTTGCTGGGCCATAGCTAGTCCTGTTTTTTTTTCTTTTCTTCAGATAGTACACTCTGCTTCAGACCATTGTGCACCACAATTTCATTCCCATACATGATGTATATTACACTTACACTATATTGCTTGCTCCTACATAAGCTGTATGTTACATATCGTCTGTAAATAACATGCACACTGTCTATATATTACTTGCCCATGTAATTCTGCATATTTCTTGTACACTGTCTTTACTGTATACTGTGTAGTCAATAAGTTATTTGTATAGTTTGTTTTCATTTTTTCATTTAGTACTAGAGAGAACAGCTGTAAACAAATTTCTTGTGTGTCAACATAATTGGCCAATAAATCTGATTCTGATGAAAGATGACCTCTGCCAAACTCTGCATTAAAACTTCCTCACTGTTATATTTAAGTTCTGAAATTCTGTGTTTCCACAGTTTCACAAAAACAGAACAATAGGTGGAAACACAGTTATCTTCTCAAGACACTCACCTCAATACTGAAGTAACCTCGATCTACGTAGTCCCCCAGAAAGAGATAGCGTGTGTTGTTGGGCGAACCTCCCACCTCAAACAGTTTCATCAGGTCAAAGAACTGTCCATGAACGTCACCACACACTGAGGGCATAAACAGAGAGAAATATGAGGCAGTGCATGATTATTTCAGGATTCATTTTAATTGGACTCAATTCAACAACAACACTGTTTTCATTGCTAACAACAACATTATTATTATTAACAAAAATGTTAATATTAACAACTTACATAAGATTAAAAACTACTGGTTTTAAAGGGCTAAAACATTCTAAGACAACATTCTATCATTTAATAATTACATTTTAGATAATCTTATACTGTAATGGTTTTTGTCAAAGTGCTTTACTGACTGACATGACTGTCCTTTCTCAATTGTCACACTTTGTAACCTCAAATAAACGGCAGAAACTCTCAGTCTTAAACACTAAATGTTGCAGCACTGGGGACTGAGCAACCCAGGATTATTTAAAATTAGTATGTACAATAACGTTACAACAAAAATTAACATCCACTTTGAAACAAGGAAATTTATGGAGCAGACAAGTCGCCAAGAAACTGCTATAAACACTATAAATAATTATGATGCAGCATTACAGTTATTGATGGTTAAATAATCTCTTCTTGTTTCCTAATGTATTAAAGTCAAAAGTAACTTTTAAACAGTGGTGTACAAATGCCTAGGAGGCTGAGGAGAAAACTGTTTTTGTCAGGGTGAAGTGGACTACAGCACTGCAGAGAATCAAACCACACGTGGTCTTTGCAAAATGAAAAGTAGGTTAAAACAAAAATCCACAAACACCACGGCCTGGTGGTTTGGGTGAGTCACACTTTAAAGGAATAGTTTGGCAAAGACACAAATACCCAAAAGAAGTTGTTACCCATAAGTAATTGTACTCTACCAATTAGCATTGTACTAACGATCATGTGGTTTCCGATACTGTATGACACACTGTCATTTATACAACTCAGGCTTTGCAAGTTAACCTCCGTGCCAGGGTGTGAAATGATTCAGGCCTGCAGTTAGAGTCAATCTAACTGGTGGAGTATAAACTTCCATCACTTGTTAGCTACATTAGGCTTATACAGTTTTTTAAATAGGTCAGACATGAACCCTGGGGGAGCATTCAATTTAGAGTAAAGGGGTGATTCTAGATTCCTAGTAAAGGGTTCTATGTAGTCATAAAAACTTATTTGACTTTGACTAACAGAGACTATTTTGATGCTATACAAAACCTTCTATTAAGCTTTAACCCTTGTGTTTGAATCTGTTTGAATATGTGTGTGTGTGTGTGTGTGTGTGTGTGTGTGTGTGTGTGTGTGAGGGTGGACAACATGGACAGGACCACCACACAAGGATTAAAAGAATCACAAGAGTCTCCTCATTATAGAAAAAAAAATCATACAATGCAAATACAATTTAAGCATCAAATGGTACTTTTAGCTGTCATGGAGCTACACATTCATATGCAATAACCTGGAAACCCCCCAGTCAAATTATCAGTCAATGTTTTGCTGATTTTCTGAGTGAAAATAAGTCACATAATCCCTTCAATAAACTTAAATAAGGCATTTTTTACTAGTTTCAGCACAAAACCTCATTTTGCTAAGTTTAACATATTTAGGGAAAAAACATACAAAATAAAATGTCATAACTTTTGCACTTTTGCAAAGTTTTTTTCTCCTCAACATGTTAAATTCAGCAAATAAACAGTAACTGTATATGAAAATGTGCAGAAGTGGCTCTCTATAGAGGATTTATTAACGTATTTTCAATTAACACCACAATGAATTTGACCAGGGGCGCACAAACTTTTGTATGGACTGTATATAACCACGGCTGTTACTAAAAAATAAACTTGAAATTCTGTAATGTACATTTTTACTAAATATGCAACCACAGACAGGCAGCTGATACTGGGTCTCATTAAAGCTGAAAGATTCATCTTTTTTCTATCGTGTCACAATATTAGTCAGAAAATCGCAATCAGACATTTCTCACACCGTTCAGTCCTAGCTTTTCATACTTGTTAAAATATATAAGAGCAAAATATACTTGGACAGCTGTCAGCACACTCCGGGAAGCTTATGCGTGGGGAAACGCTGCTTTCAGCTTGCAGCTTCGTCTCAGCAGAGCAACCAGAGGATGTAGTACCACGTGATCGTGCGGCCCTCGGCAACAGGCGATACGATATTAAGGACCCTGGGGAGTAGAGGAGGGCACCATTTTTATCCTCACACCTGTTCGGGCATGTGAGGGGGGTTTCCTGTGGGCTCCGCTGGGGAATCAAAGGCAGGCGGCGCGTGGGCGAGCGCCTGGGACGCTACCGACTATCTGACCTTTTGAAAAAGAGCCAATCAAAAGATCCGGCGGCTCAGCTGCTGAGGACTCCCTCCTTTTCAAAACACACTGGCTTCCCTCAGCAGCTGCCGAGTGGGTCAGGGCAACATTAACGCAAAAGGCAGGCAGGAAATCACTAAGGTCATGTACTGCAGTAAACTGTTCTGTTAATCGTTATAGCAAATTCAGCACCAGGAACAGTGAAGACAAAGCAGGCCGTGATGTACAGTACTGTGCAAAGTCAGAGACTCTCCTTCACTGTCTTAATTTCAAGTAAAAAACAGCCATTAAGTACATTAAGCTCTTCTTTTATTTAGTGTCAGTAAGAAGAGCACAAGAAGAGAAAATTATCCAGAAGCCTCAACAACTAAGGCCCAATTTCATTTCACCCCTCACCTCTACCACTTAGCCCTACCCCTCAGTTTTGCGTGTTCACGTCTAGGGGTAGGGTGTCCCAATTCTTACTGAGATAGTGGGGATAGGGCGAAGTGTTACCCTGCGCTCACACTGGCAGCAACAAAGCAGCTGAAGATCATTCATTTTCAGTGAGAGCTGGCGACTTCCAGGGACAGGAAGCAGCCCAAATGTTGGCGACGCAAAGTGGGTGGAGTCAGCAAAGCAACAAAGTTGAGCGAAGCTTAACTTTACACAAATAAGGAGCGAAGGGATGAGGCGACTAACAACAGGAATTGAGCACTGAACAGCATAGTACACGCTTTATCTCTGCCACTGTGAAACGGTACGCACCCTTTTTTGGTTCCTAGAGAATTGTTCCTACTAGAGGTGGAATAATGGCAGCGCTGCTTTTGCTGCAAATAGACAGCAATAGCAAAGACCAAATACTGTTTTCTCACATACTGACTGCACAGACACAGGGATTAAATAAAAATAAGTACACAAGCGATTTCTCGACAGGATATTTGTATATAAACAAAATAGAGCATTTTCTCTATTAAAAAAAATGACGATAAACACTTAATTATCTTAGTTTAATGTCACTTCAATGTATTATGGTCCTTCTCTTTATAACCAGCTTAAAACCTCATTAGTTGTATGCTGATGTCTTGGTAGCTAGCTAGCTAGGTCATCCAGGTGGTTGCTAGTTGTCCCATTTTCTCTGGTACGTTTAATTTTTTTTTGGCCTCCAGTTTTGGAAACTCCAACAAACCACAAATTTTAAAATTGCATGCAGGGATCAATCTCCCATAACCTTGGTGAGACTTTTCAATACTCTGCAACTGCAATGTACGGTACTATAGCTGCAGCTGGGCCTGAAGACGACAGAGCCTTGGGTCTTGTGTCACGTCCTAATTATCACTAACTTTCACTATCTATTTTTTTTTTGACACAGTGAAGCAAGTTCAGCAAAATGAAACATGTGAGAGTGTTTTTATGTTTAAATGATGGTGCACTTTTTTTGAAAAGATCAAACATCAAAGATTTTCTGGTTTATACTGTCAGTACCACATCCTTGTGACAGCTGCACCAGCTCCTCACAGCAGCCCCAGCGGGTCAGGTTAAAACTGAAAATAAGCATGTGTTGGCAGACACACGCAGCCCTAATAGAGCAGGTATGATCTCACCAAGTAAATGACCCAGGCTGTTCTACAGAAGGTGGTCCCAGCTGAATGTTGCTCACCAGAAACTATGCTGAACTTGATTAATATGACCACACTATGAATCATCAGTCAGAACAGAGACGTGGCAAAGTTTACATAAAGGTTTTAGTCCATCTGAAATCATTCGTTCAGACCGCAGCTTGTGAAATATATGCATTGAAACTCGACAACCTGATGAAAATATCCATCTGCATGTAATATAAACATAACTTATACTTACAGTACTGCAAAAAAGTTTCAGGCACCGGAAAAATTTGAATTATAAAATCAGAAAAATAAAATAAATAATACACAAAATAATAAAACAAAGTAATGAACTCTTAACCTACTTAAATGTTAAAGTAAAAATGAATTATAAAAAAGGAAAATTGATATGCACACATATACATACACACACACACACACACGCACACGCACACACGTGTGAAAGAAAATGGCTTTATGTAGCACCCAAAAGGGTTCTTGTACTCTTACAAGCTTGACATTGTAACAATAGTAGGGTCCTTTTTGGTGCAATATAGAGCCCTTTTCAAAAAGGTTCCATATAGAATCATCTACAGCACATTCTTCAGAACCCTTTCATGATGCAAAGAACCCTTTAATAACACAAAGGGTTCTCTAAGTGTTATTGGGTCTGTATAAAACCATTTTCTTTACTAAAGAACCCTTGAAGAACCAGCTTTAAGTATGTGTATACATGCATACACACACACACACACACACACACACACACACACACACACACACACACACACTACACAAATCATTTTTTATCATTATTGCGATAGGAGTTATTACAATGACAGATTACATTACCTTGAACATGACATCACATCACCGGCAAAAACCATTAAAAACTTAATGAGTCCTTCTCTATACTGGAACTGAACTCTGCTCTCCCACATGGGGATGAGTAACTTAACCACTCAGCTAAACAGTCAAATACTAAAACACACACAGCACAGCTTATACACACATTTGTGGCCGTACCACTCACTGCTATTTGCACAAATCAAGTCATGCGATCATGTAAGAAAAACCTGGAATCAAATTTTGTTCAAAGCTTACAGCATCTCAACTACTTTTTGGAAACCAAATTCTTCTTACTTTTTAATTCTTTTTCTGTTTCTATTCTGTTTTTATAAGCAAATTCACTTTTACTGCCCAGATAAATGTTTTTAACAACTTGCTTAAGTACCCAAAACTTCTGCACAGTACTGTATTTATATAAGGGCTTTTTAGTGTCACCTGTTTCCATAACAGTCATCATTATGCCGTCGCACACACCCAGAAACTGTGCACAGACTCAGATTGTGAAAGTGATTGGATTCCAATGTTTACACTGTGATTAGTCTTCTGTTTATTGGATTACATTACTATGCACACCATCTCCTTTGATCAGATTCATTAAGCTCAATCAGATTACTCAATTCTATTGTTTTTTTTCCTGACTGACCCATTAGTCGGATTGTTAAAGGATTACAGGCTGCAAGCCATTTTGTCAAAAGCTGTGCAGAGGGAAAAAATCTGCGCTGACTTCTGAGCCTAATAGGGCCTGAAAGGTCCACCTGTACCTGTGGTGAGGGTCTACCTGTACTGTACACTGTAAGAAATAAAGGTTCTGTGCAGGTACATTATTCGCTCATCAAGGTACAAAACAATGTAAATGTTGCCTTAAAAGGTACAACAGTAGTTTTAAGGTCCAACTGTGAACTTTAAATAAGTTTTTCCGGGTGAAAAGTACACATTTGTACCTTTTCATAACCGGATGTTTTAAAACAGAACAATAAAATAAAAAGCCTGGAGACGAGACGGGGTGTGTGGAGTCTTAGAAAATATAATTTCAATGGATTATGGTACAATTATGTTCCCTGACCCAGTGACAAGACGGGCACTGCCCCAGTGACAGTTTCATACTATTATTTCTGGGAATGTAGGGTTGCAGCGGTTTACCAGTTTCACGGAATACTGTGATATAAAAATGTACCACGTACATTTGCTTATTACCAGTATCCAAATAAACAAATAAATAAATAAATAAATAAATAAATAGCTAGCCAAACGGAGAACCTCACCTACTATAACATCCAGTAAACGGTGTATTGTGCCCAAGCAAAGTAGCCACATTTAGGCCAATTTATAGTCTATGCGACAAAAAATACTGTGGTCAACAGATGTTTCATAGTCCTGCACCAGCGACACAACGTCAGAATAGAACATCATCTGTAGTTTCTATGAAAACTTGTATGACAACGCAGTTGATTAAACAATAGTAAAACTGCAAAGAACAGTCTGAAAACAGCTGCTACAGTCTAACTGCTTTAACAGTACGATTTTATGTTGCAGGATCACTACAGCAACCAGAAATACTACTTGTTTTTCACACGCGTTGTGTTTCACTCACAAGCTTTTTCTCCATCACGCAGGGTTGGCAGATTCGTGTTTTTTCCCCAAAAGTGCCAGCTAGTCTGAAAGTGCAGGGCCAGAGTAAATTAGGTGCGTTTTCTGCTTGGACTACTTTTTAAAGTAATCTCAGTCACGGAAAAATGTTTGAAAATAAAAACAAATCATGTTCTAAATGTATATTGATAATAGTTTGGCAACCTGTTCTGTTTCGGACAGCAGCGGAGCAGCAAGACAGTGAACACAGCCACACACAGTGACCACAGCAACAATCCAGAACAGAGAACTTTGAGTTTCTTTCCAATCAGAGGGTGCAGATGTTGTCTGAAATATTTAGATGCATGCAAAGTTTTGCGACACCCTACAGACACAAATTTTGCTTCTTTTACGCAATTTTTTGTTCAGCGACGTTTGTTGCCTGGACTATAAATCGGCCTTCATAAATCAGAGAGAGAAAGCTTGTGCTGTACCATGACAAAGACCACTGGACCGTGCTCTTTCCTTTATTCTTTGTTTATTCCTGTAAGCAATGGCACTAGGAAGGTTTGGACTGCTTTTAGTTCGGACAAGTGAAGCCGTGAGACCAGAGTCACCAGTTAGCATCTGCTCAACGTGCTTCTCTGCTCATTTCTCATCACCAAAGCTCTCTACTGTCTGGGTCTGAGTGGAAGTCTGAAGCCACCGCATGTGTGTCTCCTCTTCCTTCTCGACCACTTGTCACTGTGAACATGTAAACGTCGATAATAAATGATTTTTTTCCAGCACTGAGTGCTGACATCAGTGTGTGTTTGTATGTGTGTGTGTGTTAAAGGTGCAGACAGGATCAGTCTGGCTGCGCTGGTGCATTTACAGTAAATTGGCAAGAGCATTTTAGTTTAGAGCATTTGTACGGAAGTCCGGAGAGGCCATGAGCTGTTGCTATAATTTTCTGTTATCTTGAGATAACGAGTTAATTATCCTGTGACTCTTTATCTCAAGATAACTCTCACTATTTTGAAAGTTAAAAAAAAACAAATAAAAATAATCTTTAGTTGGATATAACATAGTTCAAAAGGGCTCCACACAGAGCAACTACAGCAGTAAAATCCTGCCTTTAAGGTTTGTGAAATACCATATAGCATGATAAAGTGAAACTGTAATCTTTTCTGAGATGATTATCATACCGTGAAAATCTCACACTGTTTCAACCCTCCTGTACTAGAACCTACCTGAGGGTCTGATTAGAGTCTATGACGAGAGATCACCTACAGCAGATACTCAAGTCTGCCTGCTTTAGACGCCTACCTGTAATGGGAGCCTCCACCTCCAGCATGCACTTCTCATGGCGAAGAATGTTGGCTCCCTCGTTGATGATGCGTAGAGCGACGTCTTCCTCCAGACGGCCCTCCTTCAGCAGGTGGGCCTTCAGCAGCTCCACTTTGGGCTTGCCATCCTCATACAGCTCCTTCATGGTAAGGCGCGTCGTCGGAGGATACGGCACGGCTGGAAAAAAAAACAGAATACAGAGAGAAATTTAACTACTGTAAGATGAGGTGAAATACTAGCTTAACGACAATTATTGGTCAGACATAAAAACACAATAAAAAAAAATTCAACAAAAACAAATAAACAGCATCAGGTTTTTCGCAGGCTGTACAGCTGCGGTCACGTTGACTGCAAAGGATAAGACTAGCCAACCTGAGCCTCTGCTTATGGAATGTTTTTATATCAGTGCATTTTGGGGTCTGAAATATGCTCACCATGCCAAGTTAAAAAACTTAATTATGTAGTTACTGGAAGGTTATTCATCAGTCTTCTGTTCCATATTTAAGATCAATATACTCTTTGACTTTGGTTCTCTTTACCTGGTAAATCTCTCTTTAGACTTGTGTCAAAATGATAAATTGTTGAAGGCCTTGCAGCTGAAAGTAAGCAAGCAATCACTACAAAATGGCTGTCTATTGAGATTCTCAAATGCATGATTGGTATGACATTGTTCATGAAGGCTGTATCATGGAAAAGCCAGCTTAATCCTACAGATTTCAGACTGACAAATTCTGTAAGATTTGGTCTAAATGGCTAGTTTATGAGACCCCGGCGACCAGAATTTATGTAGGTTTTTTATGACCTCCCTTTTTCACTTCCTTTTCTTTCTATTAAAGAAAACATGTGAGCAGATTTTAGGAAGAATTTAGGATCCTAATTTTAAGGGAAAATCAAAAATGTTCTAGTTTATAAAGAATAGTTTTCAGATTGTATTCAGTTTATAATAGGAATGTAATGATTTATTTATTTTTATGGTATTGGGCTTCCCCTGTTTTCTCTTCAGTTTTAAAATAACGTAATTTTTTTTATAATGTACTGTGTACTATAATTTATATTGACACGTTAAAAATAATGTTTATTTGTTACAAGAAAAGCTTCCCTATTTGTATTGTAAATAGATTTATATATTTATATCATGTAAAAATGAATAATAACTTGTTTTGGGACATAAACTGACACAAATGTCTTAAGTGGACCACAGGAGGGGAAAAATAATGAAAGAAAGATGTACAATACCATCCCTTCAAAGACAATCAACGAATAATAAAAAGCCCTTTGTCCACCGGAGGGTGGAGATTGTGGGTGTGCATGCTAGAAAAATAACATGCACACCCACCGTTCCACACGAAGGCCACTTTCTGAAGAAGACACAGCAGTTTGTGGAAGAGCACACACACTTAGTCAGAGCTGTGTGTCTGAGTAACTCTGTATGTGCTGCTGCAGGTGCTGCACAAATAAGACACTAAATTTCACCCTAAATACACACATGATGCATGTCTTCACACTCATAATTTCCAAAAACCGCCGTCAGTCAGCAGTTACAGATCTCTGGCATCACCAGCTTCTGGTAAAAGAGTGTCATCCTTTACAAGGACCCTTGTGGTCGACTGAGTCAAACTTAAAAAGCGAAACCAAAAGGAGAACTTTAATACAGTAGCTGTCCTGGCTAAATGTACCATAATCTAATTTGGAGCAAACTGCCACACCACCAGGGAACAAGTGAGAATAGATTTGTGGATGGTCCCAAGAGTTAATGCCCAATTTAAATGATATACATTTTATATTAGAGATAGGATGAGACTTTTTTCAATACTGATACCAATACTAAAACCGTGAATATCGCCCGATACAATATAGATTTAATATTTCTTCTTTAAAAAGTAATATTTCCTGGACTCCAGGTAGTCAGTGTGAACAAGAAATCAAGTTTCTCCTTCTTTACTGCGACTAAAGTGATATACTGTAAGTTGTGAATACTGTGAGAGCGCCCTCTGCTATTTATCAGAGCGTCACCGCTCCCCAGTTTCAGTCTCCATTTCCCAATAACTTTACCCGAGCGCGCTAATGTTTTTCCTCCTAATAAACAGACACATGTTCAGCTCTGTCTCCTCATTATTCACCATCACTGTAATATTTTATCAACATTAACACACGAAGGTAATATAAGGGACGGTGGAGTTCGTGTCTGCAGAGTCTGAGATTTTTAAAATGCTGAGTTAAAAAAGAAAAATCTCACAAGTGAAAGCAGCGTTTTACAGTATTAATAATAACTATATTATTAATAATAATAAAAAATGTAGCGTCATTATGCTAGTAGTGAACTATGCTGCTGACACAGCTGCCTAAAAACGATAGAAACGGACATTTAAACAGAAGTTAGGACACTGTTGGAGTTTATCCTAAAGTTAGGATGGTATTTAGGAGATTTAGTCTAGTTAGGATGTTTGTGTGATACTGTTTTCTTATCTGGAGTTAATGATGAGATTATGAAGTTAGGAACTGTTATTCTGTAATAGCTACTGTCCTAAATTCAGTCCATAATGAAGTTGTCATGGAGACTAAACAGATCAGATTTCAGAGTTAAGATGTTTCTGTAATACAGCTCCTGGAATGACTTTTATTGAACGTTAGCACACGAGCTGCCCACTGAGCACAAGCTGACTGATATCAAAAAACTGTGTGAACTTATGAACAAGTGAGAGGAAAGAGAGGAAGTGTTTACTTGTGTCTGTGAGGGTGAGAGAGACAGAGATATTGACTGACACTTAGTGATAAGATGTAAAAAAAAACAAAAAAAAACAAGGGAAAGTAACATTATTAAATCGAGCAGGCTAAAAGCTCTGTCTCTCTAACCAGAAGAGCGGGAAGAAAGAAGGGACTGAATTCTTTTCTCTCCTTTTTTCCCCTCTCTTTTTCTCACTCACACGTTCTAAAGTGTTTAATGCTAACTTTGCAAATGTTGTCATTGACCTTTTTCCTTAGACAAGCAAATTATTTTGTAATTCGGACACGTAAAACTTTACAGGACAAATCCTTGAAAAAGATTAATACCAAGTCTATTACTGGTTCACAGTAACGTAATCAAAATCACATTACATAAACATTATAGAGACAAGAAAACAAGTATTTTTGTATTTTTGCTCTACTAGAATACATTTAGAGCTTCAAATGTTCCACACACACACATTATTTTCCTCATATTGTTAATCTCTATTCACCCTCTGTCTGAAAAGCTCTGCTAGAGCTTCTTTGTCTTTAAGCTCCACCTCTCAATGAGCCCAATGTGCTCTGTTCTGATCAGTGAGCCTCCAGAGCGGTTCCACCCCTCCACGTTCCGCCCCTGTTCTGCAGTCTGCAGACAGACTCTTCTCTCCTGAGCAGCTGTAAACTCCGCTGTGGCTGTTTCACCAGCGGCGTCGTTTCTGTCGTATCAGTTTGATCCAGAGCGGATCCTGAAAGTCCGGTCAGCGTCTTCTCCAGACGCTACAACACTGACCACACTCCTCCTCCTCCAGTAGCTGCTGTGCGCTGTGTGAAGGTGTGCCAAGCTCACCGGTAGCTGGGCAGTAAGTACTGTGTTACGAGACTGCGTCATCTTGTAACAAAAGAAAAGGGCTGGAATTCCAACGAGGTGTTTCAGGAAGCTGAGAAAAGTGGTTTCTGTGGGAGAGAGTTTCTCCCTCTGGAGGGAACGCTGAGCTTTGTGACTTTGCAGACCATTTACATACACAAAAAGATACATAACACACTAAAGAAAAGGGGGAAAAGCGCAATAGGTTCCCTTTAAATTACCTGATCTGATGATTTGTGCTTATTATATCTTTGCTTGAGTGCCTTGCCATCCTATTGCTGCTGTAGCACTGAATTCCCCCCACACTGTGGGACTAATAAATGATTATCTTATGAAATAAGGTCAAGAAAAAGTCCAAAAAGTCCAGTATAGACCCTTTATCACCTGCAGGGTAATGGCGGGGTTAGTGGAAATGCAAGCGTGGCTGTTTTACTGGTGCAGAAAGAGCAGCTACATGCTCAGAGCACAGAGTGGGCATGGCCTAAAGCTGTGGCTGAGCTCCTGGTGAAGAGTATCACACTTTAATAAACTGCAGAGACATCCCGGGGCCTCGAGGCCAAACCAGCGAGTGGCAGCATGCAGGAGTGGAGTGTTAAGAATGCAGGATTAGGCAAAGCCACCGTTAGCCCAGCATTCCAGGTTCAGACACTGCTGGTTTAATGCTGCAGACACAATTCTCAGAGCTAGTGCAGACCACCGAGGAAAGAAGCACTAACGCCAGCTAGTTACTCACACCTTAATGGACACAGAACCCCTGCTATTCACACTAGTCTGAACCCAAGTGGTCTAAGTCTTGAAGAGGGGAAACAGGTAAATAAAGAGCACTTATCCAGTTTATACAAACAGTTTCACTTTATAATAGCTGAATTCCTAGGCTTTGTTCACATTAGCAGGCTGCAGTGGCACAAATCCAAATTTCTGCCCTAATGTGACTCAGATCTGATGTTTTCATGCTGATGCTGTGTGGACAAATGAATCTGATCTTTTCAAATTCGACCTGAGCCACCTCGGCTAAGTTACAAGCCCCATTGCTCAAATCCGATTTTTGGCTCAGACATGATGGTTCACACTCGTTTAAGTATGTGAATCAAATCTGTCACTAAAGTGAATAAACTGGCATCCTGAAACGACCTGCATGTGCACATCCTAATTAGTAATGTCACGTGAATGAATCACATGTGTCTTGAACAGCAAATCAACTAACTTACAGAACGAGACAATTAACTCTGATCAGCTCTCAGCTGCTATACATACTTACCATGGCAGAAGCACCGAACAGAAGCTAAAGCCTGTAAACAGTGGAAAAGCAACACAATTCACCCTTTTCACCTTCGTCTTGCTCTAATAATGCAGATGAGAGCTGATCAGAGTTAATTACCTTCACAGCGAAGAATTGTTTTGCTCAATCGTTTGTTTTCTGATGATGCAAGTGATGCGCGTGATTCATTCACGTGACGTTACTGAGTAGGATGTGTGCATGCGGGTCATTTCAGGATGCTGGTTCGTTCACATTAATTACAGATTTGAATCACTTACCTAAACGAATGTGAACCATCGTGTCAGAAAGATCAAATTTGATCAAAAAGATCAAAAAAAAATAAAAAAA